CCGTATCTTTGCTCCGTCGTGTTCCGTTGCGAGACGTGAAAGCACGACGTCTCGCTTTGACATCGAGATACATACCGCGACGCGACGCGCTTGATATTTGACACGGAAACCCGCGTATCGTCGCGAGTGCTTGCCAGCCTCGTGCGGCTTTGCCAGACCGTCGCGGAATGATATTGCTGAAGCATTCATTTCCAGCAGGCAAATCTCTGCTTCTTCAAGTTTGAGTTTCGCACAAATGTGCTGTTGTGAAAGTTGATTAAAATTTTTAAGTTAAGAAAATATCAAAAATTTAGTGCGAATAAATCAACAAATTGAAGATAGGTTAATGTCGACAAATTTAATTTACTATTTAATTTATTGCGATAAGGTTTCTTTATTAAGTAACGCTTCTTCGTAATGACTTTCTTTCAATTAAATGTTATTTATAGAATTTTATTTTTCTCCCGAATTTTCGATTTAATTAGAAATCACTATGCAATGCCGTTGCATTTTTCGCCGACGCATCGCGATTTTTCGAATCGACAATAAATCCTCGCAAATGCGGAGTAGTAGATTAAACGGTCGATGCGGGTTGTCGATTTTTCCAGGAAACAAATAAAGTCACTCGTGTCCAGTTCCCATCGCTGCGTAGACCTCGCGGGAGAGGCAAATTATTCAAAGGGCCCGTCCGCTTTTCTCTCCCGCGAGCGCTATAATGCGAGTGCCCACCGCTTGTATACAGGGGAGGCTTGTATTCGAGGGGTTTGTGGCAGGACGTACCATAAGCACACTGCATATGGGTATCGGAAACGCGCGTAGATCACGCAGGATTATTCGGACACCCCCATCGGCGATCCCTAAGCTCTGTTGGATGCATGCTAATTGCCGTGAAGGCACACATCCGTGTACGTCGCATGTCTACGGGGTGTCTCGGCATTAATTATTCCGATCATAATTAATGATCAATCACCGTTGTTCGCGTATCGATTTTGATCCCTTCATTAGAATATCAAAGCATCTTACTTGCCGACGACTGAAAATAAAAGGCTCGTAGAAAATTAGATTAAATTTGTTTGTCTAACAGAACATTTAAAAACCTGTACAGAGGACTCTTTATTTGCACGAAACTTCCGAGATTTATGTACCGAAATTTGTACTGAATATCGAAAAAGTTCCAACAAATAGTAATATGTAAATAAGTTAGAATTATTTACCAGAAAAAACCAACTTTAAATTTGTCGAAAAATTTTCCACGCAAGTTAATCGTGAAAATCAAATATTTATATTTGTTTAAGATAAATTTGGTATGAGAGAGAAGTTTGGAACACCGTGTGTATACATATATATAGTCTGCCATGTACAAGTCCATGTACAAAGATGACATGGTCGACGCATATGAATGTGTGTGTATGTGTGTGCTTAAAAAGGAAGGGATAGTTAATAGGGGATGGCGAGATCCACCCCTATAGACATCCTTTCGAGAGCACCACGAAAATAGCGCAGTCCGTGAACAAACACGCAACTACACTCGCAACCGGGAAGGCGAATCGAGGCGAAGAAACGCAGGCAGAGGGGAGAGATCCTGATCCTCTAATGCACGAGCTAAACTTTTTTAACTTCCAGTTTCATTTTTCAATTTCGATGAAAATATCTTTTGATCGTCTCAAAACTGAGATTTATTTCAGCGCGAGGTGAAAGTTTCAGTTTGAAACTAAAATTGCAACGTGTAAAAATATCCAGGTTGTAAAAATATCCAGAAGTTTGAAAACATCAATATGTTTTTGTTTATATGCAATAGTTGTTGGATCTGAAGGATTACTGTTAAACAAAATACATTGTTATGGATATATTTGAGTAAATAATCCCAAAACTGTCAATTTTTTCAATGTGTTTCCAAACTTTTGACGCGCAATGTCAGATTGCTGAAAATACTGAAAATCAGTCTACATAAAATATATAATTACATTCGAGATTCTAAAGTGAAATTATACGGGGAATTGAATGAAAATTTTCGTTGCTTTGTTGTTCGTTAAAATCGCACAAAGACCAGGCGACGCAGCTTTTGTTAAAAATATCAAATATCTCTGAATACGTAAAGAGTACGAGGTACTTTCGGAATTAAACAAACCGATTGTGAGTTTGTGCACGCAGAAATGTATGGGGTGAAATTACTTTTCGCGGGAGTGATCCACTCAGCGAGAGAAATGCATCGATCACCACGGGTCAGCATTAACGCAAACTCCCTTTGTGTATCGCACACCACTTCCGCGCGCGTTAGAGAAATAATCCCCTCATGTTTATGTATTCCGGGCCCACGCATCCTTTAATGCGCCCTATGAATTTTTTTCTTCCTTTTTTTTTCAAAGCGCCGCGGCGGTCGAATATTTTTCGCATTACGTTTAAAAATGAAAGTACGGTCCTCGAAGGCGGATCTCGCCGCGGATAAATCACCAACGCGGGGTCGGCTCGTGCAGGCGGAAGCGGCGGGCGAGGGACGATGGTGTGTTTCGCGTAAAATCAGCTTAAGGGAATTTTTTCAGACGTCGAATTTCCACGGCATGCGAAACTTCCGAGAGAGGTGTTCCTCCTCCCTCTTTCCCCTTCTTCTCCCAATATCATCGGCTCTCGCGTTTAGGCGCGCCGACCCTAATCACTTTTAAAACGCCATAAAGCGGATTAACCGTAGAGGATATTACGGGCCAATCGAAGTTATGAATTCATTAGGCGAGCGCGTAGAGGTAAACGAGATTACGAAGTCATAATTGAAGGCTTGAATTCGTGCTAATTCCTATTGTTCCGCGTCGTCCTCGGGATCTCAATTGTCTGACCACGGTGTTGATGATAGTAATATTCCTGCAGACATAATTTAGGAATAAAATTTAACAATTTTCTAATCGTCATTTTTTAGTTTCAGAAAATTCGATTAAAAAATTTAAATTTTGTGGCATATATTTCTCTCTTATAATATGTATAACTATCTTTAATCTCATATAATGATCTTTATTCTTCTATATAGGTACACATAGTTGCACATTTTCGCAAAATAGCAAAATAATATCAAATTATTGAAGTGTCAAAGGCCGGATCGTACGCTAAATAATTACGCCGGCGCGATCATTAACATATCCGTTGTGTTGTAATTATACGTTGCCGGCCCTGTCGTAATTATTGAGCCAACCAAACTTAAACCGATGCCTGCTTTGGCACCGGTCGTAACCGTAGCTCGCATGGAACAGCACACGGGGGTGCGATTTAATTAATTAGGGAAACGACGATTGCCCCACGACGACGAAAGGGTTGGTCGTCACCGGAATAGCGCTATCGATTTTTTCGCGCTTTTATGCGAAACCTCCCTGTTTCCACTGCGAGAATAAGCATTGCGAAAAGTATTTATTTTTACTGGAAAAATAATATACTGAGAGAAAATTATTTCGTGACTATAAATCAATAAAATAATATTTAAGAGCTCCATATTTTTATATTTTATTACTGCCATAATATTAGTAATAATTTCATATTTATAGTTAAATTATAATTGTAATATTAATAGATTATATATATTAATTGCAATGATTTTCTTCTTCAGTAATAGCGACAGTGCTAGAATTTTCTATGATATATCTTAGATTATCGATTTTATTATATTTAAGAAAATATCGATGTGAACATATTTAATTTTTAAGAAATATATATTTAAAGAAAATAAAAAATATATGTATATGTATTTACAGAATATTTTAAAAATTCTTTACAAGAGAGAAACCTCTTCGTAACTTTATGGAGTTTGAGGATGGAAAGTGAAAGTCCCATGTTTAAATACATAACGTCACCCTCCCATGGGCTTTTAAACCAGAGCAGCATTGATCGTTCAATCCCCCTCCGGTATTGATATAAAACGCCCGTGCTAATAGCGATCGTGACTCGCTATCGTGACTCGACATTTCTCGTTCGTTTCCGACTTTCCGCGAATCATCCGCGGCAAAGTATATTAACAGGTTGCCAATATCGCGAAAAGTCGTTGTCGATGAAAGGGGGACCCGGCGCGGGTCGCACATTGTGAGGCGAACAATTTAATATGCGCGGCCGCGGGGACGGAGATCCCGGGGATGTAAGGCAGAGGTCCTTATCGAGGAGAATCCTTCATCCCTGTTTCCACCGTCGGCATACCTTATCTATCTTCTGGCAGTCACAAAGCCCCGAGATCTCTCCCGTTTATTGGAAAGCACTGCCATCGACTAACCGCGTGCGTATAGGCACGCGGGATGAAAGGCGAGCCCCGCGAGGCCTCGACTCTCTGCTCTCTCGCGGTATTATCGATACAGGGTCGTCCCCCGGTCGACCTACCGGTATGTCGTCTGAATGTTGATGCCCGCCGGGGCAATTTGGTAGAAGCACGGAATTTGCATGACATTCCGTTTTGAGCGATCGCTCCGAAGACGGTCGTCCGGACGAAGAAGCCGAATAATTGAGGGGACTTCCGTGAAAAAATGAAAGACGAGAGTGGAAGAGAACGTTATGCGAATGTCGGATTTGTTTGCACGGGACGTCTGCTAGAGAAACGCTGCTGCAATTTTAATTTTAGCGGTATATACAGTTGTTATACGCATGAAAATTTATTTTAAATATAATATAATATTTTTATACTCTTATTTTTTAATATAAATTTTATTATAATTTTTTTAAACACATTAAATTATTTGTATACGCAATATTACTTTTATTCTTTTCCTGAAAAGAAGATGAACGAGTATGAAAGTTACAAAACGAACACATGCACACGCGTAATTTCAAAATTATTATCTAAAAACTAATTATCTAAATTATTATTTTCTAAAAATTTTAATTTGTAATTCGCAAAAAGAATCTCGCTTCCCAACTTTTGTTTCGTGCACGTATCTTACGTTGTCCCTCGCATAAGAATTTCGCAAGCCGGACACGTCCGTCTCAGCACGACGGCAACGCGAATCAGCGCGCAAACGTGCAGCCGGAAGTCCTCGTGTAAGCGAGCGGGTATCGCGCACATGCGCGAGATCGCGCTCACGAGGGTAGCAAGTAGTGAGTCAGAGGGGGATGAAGGCAGGAAGGGAGGTCTCTTACCACCACTACCACCGGCCGGCAGCGGCGGCGACGGCGGCGGCGTCGGTGGCGGCCGGTTAATCGACGGCGACGTACGGGTACGTCAGTCGGTCGGAAAGCGTCGCGGCGCGACGTGGCTCTTCGTGCTCCCTCTCGAAGACAACGACGACGGCGACGGCGACGACGATAACGACGTGGATCGCTTGCTGTCGCACGGTATACTCGGCGACGAACACGAGAATGCGATTCGGATGACGAAGACCGAGCGCGCGGGGGACATGTCCGGCGGCGAGGTGCGAAGCGGAAGTTGACGGGGACGTGAAGGACGAAGACAGACTCTTCTAGGAACAGGGACATGTTCCTCGACTCGCGGAGATGACCGAACGCTCGACGGTGTTTGCGTGACGGGTGGTCCTAACGTGTCTCTGTCTCTCTCTTTCTCTTTCTAACGTCCTCGAAGAAGCTCGATCGACGGGAAGCGTTGCCTTAAGTCCTGCGGGGATGCGGGCCCGCGGAATCCTCTACCTCGAAAATTCGTGATATATCTTTTGTACGTTATCTTCTAAGGACTGCTTCGAGAGACCTGGATGTGAACGCGATCCTGGAGTAGCTCCGACAAACGTGACGAGCAACTCGAGTGAATGGATGAACAAGCTTTTAGGAAGTTTGATACAAACTTAATGGAATCGAAGCTTTGTGGAGACAAGCAGATTACCTATAAACCAACAGACGAGCTTAAGCAAGCACAGAGAGGGTTACTCGGGAATATTTTTAATCGCGAGAGCGTGTCATTGTGAAGTTTGCGAGATACAATTAAAGGGCAGCTGCGCGACAATTTGCTAACAGCTGCGACAACATCAATCCAAGGGGTAGGATCGTTGAATCGGTTCGCGCTGTCGTCCGAGGTGCCAGAGCCGACTCTAGAAGACGCGGGGGTGGCGGAGACGAGGGAGGGTGGTGCGGTCGTCGTCGCAGTCGATGGTAGTAGTCGTGCCGGTCGAGAGAGCAGCTGCGACGGCAATAGTCGTAACACTAACGGCAGCAGCTGCAGTGGTAGTAGTACGTGCAGTGGTGTTGTCGGCAGTGGTAGTGTCGTCGTTGGTGATAGTGTTGGTGGTAGTGGTGGTGGTGGTGGCGGTGGTAGTGGTGGTGTCGTCGACGGTGGAGGATCGTCGTGCAGGGGTGGCTCGCCGCGACTTATAATAAAGGGACCGGTGGAGGGCCCGGCGAGTAGTAGCAGCAGCAGCAGCAGGGTGGCCGCGCGAGTGCACCCGACTTGGGAAACGGGGTGCGCGAGAGGGGTGGGCCCCTCTGCACCCTCAAGACCGGGGGGATGTCCCGCGGCCGACGGCGTGCCACCCGGTCGCAACGTCGCCGTCGGCGTCACGACGCGGAATCGCCAGCCGATGGGCGCCAATCTCACTAAGCAGAGCAGGGTGAGTTCTAGTTTTCGGAGGGTCGAGACACGCGTACGTGGCGTTTGAAATGAGTCTCCTCCACGTCGATGCGTGCGCCGTGAATGCAATGCACGAGGGAAGACTGGTGGTTTGTTTGAAGCATGTAGAGAAAATGCGGATATTTTTAAGAATATCGAACTTGCGTGATGATTTATAAAATAGTAAAGTATACATACTATAAGAAAAATACATTGAATGTTATTTTTTAAAGGTATCTCATATCGAGAGAAATTTTTTTAAAATCCATGTGCATAGGTATCCGAATACAATTTAATGTTTCCGGCGTTTTGATTTATTAAGTTAATGATATATATGATACTTCTCTTTGTGTTGTCTTTGAGAGAATTTTTGAGAGAATTAAGGTGATTAATCTGAATAATTTTATAAAAATTTAAAATACACGCACTAAACAGATTCTTTAAAAAGATTATACATAATAATATGACATCCATATATCGTATGCGATATAATTATTACAGAATGATTGTATATAATTCTAATTATTATCGATCGATATTTAAGGCGATGATAAACAATTGTCCATTGATAGTAAGATAATGGTATATATGTGGGAATGGAACAATAGCAACTTGAGAACAAACCGATAGACTGAATGAACGGCACTGTGATAAACACGTGGGTGAGAAAAAAGGCAAACGAGAAAATTCACGGGCCATTAAAAACGCTCGCAGGTATCTGCCCGTGGATATCTGCGCTCGTGAGAGCCTGCCATTCACGGCGTTCTTTCGCTGCCGATGAATGAAGCATTTACGCACTCGCGCGTACTTTCGCCCGCGCGCGTTCGTGACCTTTGCGATTTCGTCGAGCCATCGGCATGGGCGCAAATCCGCAGTTTAGCTGCAGCTGCGGCACAAAAGCGGATTCCGAATAGTCGTTACCCAACATGAAATAAGAACACGATCGTAATTTCTTCACGTTAGAAATTGATATAAAATAAATATTTAAATATTTAAAAATGAAAAATTGAATAATCTCAAGATCGAATTTGTTAGATTTCTATCAGGCAACGAAATCTTCTCACAAGCATCTAATCGAGAAACTTTACTATTTTCTGAGCTGTAATTTTAAATATTAATATCGTTCATTTACAACAACGACACAATTCAAAGTACAAAAAAAATAAGTGATTTTAAATTTTCAAAATGATTATTTTGAAAATTAAAAACGTTGTATTATATTAATTTTGAAATGCAATTTTTATGCATTATAGAGGAATAAAAGTATAAAAATTTTAAAGTGCATGTTATTTGTTATGTCCTCGTTCTTTTCTCGCAAACAACTAAACAAATGACAATTTTTTAATTAAATGTTTGTTGTAACAAATGAGCGATATTACGAAACTATTTTTGAATCTAAACTATTTTTGAATTTAAATCTTTGTTGTAACAAATGAGCGATATTACGAAACTATTTTTGAAACCATGTGTAGAAACGGCCTTTCACGCATGCCTTCAACATCAACTTTCCTAGTAGCACCGGGCAGCAAATATTCGTATGTGTGTCAAAGCGTATCGAGCGAGCGAAGCTTTTCCAAGCGCTTTATTGACATGCAACACGGAGTGCGCGCAGCGCAGTATATTGCGGGATATAATGCACTGACGCGGCACATAACAGCTGCGTGCATTGATAACGGCCGCGGTTCCGTTGTGACGGTGCCGCGGTGACACCGCCCGTTCGAATCAAAACGTGCCGGTTATCTATACGTCGCCCTAAGTCGCAACGACGACGCTACATCGCGTTCAATTTTTTATTATTCGTCGCAGAGACCCCCGATGCCTGAAAACACGCGAGCCTTTTTATTCCGAATTTCGTATTTCACGAAAGAGAACAATGTATCGCGAACGACTGCCATTTCTATGGCGTTTTATCTCTTTGCCGTTTTTGATATAAAAAAAAGAAAAAAATCGCGTTATCGTACAAAGCGTCGGTTTAGCTGAAGCAAAATTTGTATAACTCGTACACACGAGATACCCTGTGGTCACGACAGTATTTATTTCCATTATCCGCGGCCTCATTTACCTTCGGCGCGACAAAATCAATAGAAAGACACACGGCACTCCGGTCGACGGAACACATTTTTAATGGCCTGGCCAAACAGGGAAATTCCACGGCGAGACCAACAATTGTGCCAAAAAGCTACCCCCGGCGCGAACGCGCGAATCAAGAGGATGTCTCCGTGTTATTGTACCACATCGCCCGTCCTCTTCGCGCCTCGCGCGATCCGCCCTTCTGTTATTCCCTCGTAACTCCTCCGCGGGAGACGACGGAGACGAGCCGCACGATTCTCGCGGAGGTGCGAAAGCGAGGCCGGCCTGAAAGATTTATCGCGACTCCTCCGTCGTGCTCGCGGAGAGCGTATCGGGAGATCGCAGGCACGTGACCTAGCTATCAATCCGGCTGGAGAAGCGCGAAAGACGCTCCCTTCTTCCTCCCCCCCCCTTCGCCGGCGCAGGAGCGCAACCCTCCCGGCGGTCGTCCTCGTCCTGCCGACGTATATTCTCGCTCACCACGTGCTCGCCCGAAAGCGAGCGGGCGGATGCGCTCGATCGCGATGAGTTTATCAGCGGGATCTCTTGCTCGCGATGAATTATTAAGGAGCGCTCTCTCTCTCTCTCTCTCTCTCTCTCTCCCCGCCGACCGACGGTCCTCGGATGTCGCCGCCTCATTAATTATTTGCCGGTCTCGATGATGCAGGGCGCGCTGCATCAGAGCGCGCGTTGATTAGGCGACCTCCGCGCGCATCCTACTCCGCCGCACGTGCCCCGAATGAAGCTGGGTTGCGCACGTGCGCGCCCTCGCTGCAGGGGGATTATCCGGCGGACGCGCGTACGTTTTCTCCGCGGGGCGTCTTTGAAGATCGCATCAGTTTTCTCGCGTTCGGTACTCGATTCGATACCTCTGCGACCGACAGCTCGTTGCCTCACGTGATATCGTACACGTGCACGGAGAGAATTTCCTTTTAAAATTTACCCTGAAAATCATATTAATCAACATAGTATTTTGACAAATTTTACTGTGCACTACAATAAATGTGTTGTAGTATATATGAGAAAAAATAGTGAAAATCACATAAAATTTGTCGAAATACTATGTTGTCCTACGATTAACATAATTTTCAAGGTAAATTTTAAAATAAAATTCTCTCCGTGTGGAGCAATAAGGTCGTATTACAAAATCTTTGAATTAAATTTCAATAAAGGGTATATCTAGTATTATAACGGAGTCAAATAAATTTTTTTTAAATTTAACAGGCAATGAGGACACCTCTTGAATCTCTTACGAAATTTGTTTAGTCTTTAATGCGTGTCATTACGTTTATCTCGAGGAAAAAGAAATATTATCATTTTTATCTATTTCTATCGTTCTATGTGGAAGTGTCCTCGTTGCTGCTTCCTCGATTTTGAATAGTGGAAAGTACACTTGTGCACTTGTCCCATAAAATGACGACTTCTCACGAAATTCGACGGGGAAGGTGCTTGCCTTCGCGATTCGGGCGTATAATAAAATGTTCGCGAATTTCTCGGGACGACCGAAATCGCTCTCCGAATGGAAGTAACCTCGCAAATACGACATTCTCGATGGAAAGCAAGGTGCAGGGAGATCCGTCCGAAGGGGTGGAAAAGGGCGTTCGTTAGGATTTAAGACTGCCATAAATCCGCTCCGGCCATTCCTTAAACCCTTCGCGCGCGAGTGGCGGTCAGCCCTGGCTTTTACCAGATTGTATTCCTCGATATCCTCCCCTCTTTGGACCCCGCACGTCCTCGAATTTCATCCGGCTCCTTTCTACGGCGAACTTCCGCTTGATCGCGACGATATCCGATCGACGTTGGCGGAATTTTTACGAATTTGATTGCAAGCGCGACGAGCCGAGAAAAATCGGCGGATACGAAGGTGTGCACGCACCAAGAGCATATGATGTTACGGACATTCGAAGGCATCGTGGACATTGTGGTGCATCATAAATCGCATGAATATTCCATTATAGATTGTCATATGTTACATATTGCGTTATATACGTTATACATATTAACACGATTTTTATCATTCAAATTTTCTTGCGATGTAATTGTCTATTCAAAAATTGTCTTCCAAAAAATAGAAATATTAAACGTTTCGTCGATTAAATTTCTGGAAAATATAATTTATTAAAATTATTAGAGTTTAATTTAATAATAATATAATAATTTTATTAAAATTATTTCTATCGTTATTTCTTTAGCCAAAATGAGTTTTAATCTTATTTTAAATTATTATTATTTTTCTCACGTCAGAATGTACTATAAATGTGTTTACTTTAATTCTAATATTTAATTTTTAATCATCTTGTCTTTCTTTGCCAAAAAATCTACACAATAGTCTCCTAATAAGAATACATGACCAAGAATCTACATAAATCTGATCGGCGGTCTTTTTCTCTAAAGCCGATCGCTACCGTTGCAAATCTAAGAGCATTATTATCTCGCACCGCACACATCCGAAACTTCGTCCTTCCCGGGCTTTCCGACCCGGGACAAACGACAATTTACGGCCGGTCCCGAGATAGCCGCGGTTACCGGCGGGTTAAATCGCGTGAAATACTGCTTTCGGCACATTGGTCCGGCACAATTATTGATGGCACTTGGCGAGTGGGCGCAGAGAGAAGCGGCCGGCCGCGGGGACTCGCCCGCGATCCGGAAGGGCGCAATCAATGTGCCGCGCGCGCGGTCCGCTTCGATTTAAATTCATGAATAATTCCTAGCCCGCCGCGCCCCGACGCGCGACGATCCGAAGATCGACGAGCTTTTTTCGGTCGTCGTCTCGCGCATCTCTCCCTTCTCCCGGTCGCGCGACCATCGGATTCCGCCGAGCGAGGATCGGACCGGCTGCCGTCGGTAAATTTCGCCAAGTTCAGATTTACTATGGACGAGAGTTGGGCGTTATTCTAGAAAGAATTGCACCGGCGGATCACCGTTTCCCATTTAAATAATTTATTCGGGTAACGATTGTCCGTTAGTTGTGCAAGTGGCGCATTCGATTAGTTTGCCTAAATAAATAGTACGGAAATCGCTCGGGTAATTATCCGAAATATTTTGCAAACGGCGAAACCGTCACTATTCAGATGCACACGTGTATCTTTATTCGTTTATTATTTCAATATCTTTGAACGAAAGTTATGTCATTTACGTGAAGTTATATTTAAATTTGCTTAAAGAATGAATTCTATTTTTTTTTATTTGTGAAACGTTTATTTTAAGGTGCAAATTCATGAGACGCTTGTTTCAGCGTTAGGGCCATGACACACAGAAAAACTTAAGCAGTAAAGAAACATGTTGGATTTTTGGTAGTCACGTGACTTCGACTTTGATATGCTAGCGTAAAAAAAAAGTTGGGTTTTCTCAGCTTCAGCGTCAAAGACTGTTGTTCTGAACATTTTAGATACGAATGATACGATTAACGTTAAACTTGATGTTGCCGCTTTTCGTGCAAGCCAACTATAATCACGTAATTTTGACGCCAAAAATGAGCGTCGAGCGTGAAAAAGCACCTTTACAGCAAAATTCGAATGCATCCCTCTCTCCTCGGTTTCGATCACCGCGCGAAAAATTCAACCGATTGTTCGCCAATAATTTCGATCGCCTCTCCTAAATCGGGTAAATGAAAAGCCCGAACGATTTGACGGTGATTTATTAATCGTGCCCGCTCGTCGCACGTTACCACGAATAAATTATGACGAGTGCGCACTGATTAATTACAAGTCAATTAACGTCCCCCGCCCCCTCCGGCGAAACGAGCGTCGAGCAACGAATAACACAGCGACCGACGTGTTCGCCGCGCGACGCCGCCGCCGCCGCCGCCGCCACCGCCGCTTGCGAACACTTTATTAAATCCGCCATTAATTAATCACACTCGCGCCAGCGATACCTTTCCGCGATGCGCGCCCGATTGCTCGTATCGGCGTCATTATTGCCGATTCATTATTCACGACTGTCGCAACGACGCCGGATTTTTCGAGGGCGGCGCGCGACGCTGAATTTTGCATCGCCGTCGTTCCACCGGTGGCCGTCGCGGTTTAATTACCGCTCTTTTCTCTCTCTCTCTCTCTCTTTCTCTCTCTGTCGCCCCCTCCTCCCCTCGCACCCCTTTTTTCAGTCTATCGCTGATGGGAAGCTCGTCATTAATAAATGTCAATGTTCGGATTGTGTTGCAGAGGGAGGCCACGCAACGAGATGTGGAGCGTGAACGCCGGCAGCGAATGGACGCCGAGGCTCGGGTGCGCGAGGCTACGGCTGAGGCTGAAAGAGCGCGCTCGAGGGTCCATCATCTTCAGAGAGAGCTGGCCAGGTGAGAGATCTCAGATCTTCAGAACGTTTTCGCGAAAGAGAATACGACGAGCGGTGTTAAGCACACATCGTCAAACACATAGTTGCGAATCACTTCTCTCTGATTTCCCTCGAGATAAATCGTCATGGTATCCGCGGCTCTTTCCCTCTTCCTACGTGTTTTTACATCTTCTTAGAATGCTTTAGCAAATTTTTTCCATTCAGAAAACCGGATTAGGAATCATCCAAAGTTTAGTCTAAACATTTTTTTCTACACGAAAGAACAGTTTTGCTGAAATATTTAAAAATTTAGCTAGATACAGATCATGAAAATAAATTTTATTTGACTTATTAAAGTAACGATACAGGTCAAGTTGCTAAAATGTTGAATTTTAATTTGTTTTGCAGTTTTACTCATCATGATTAAATTTCTTAATCATTTTGACCGTTCAACAAAATTATTTTCAGATCTATTCTTAATCATTTTGACGGTTCAACAAAATTATTTTCAGATCTATTGTAATTGAACTCTTAAATATTCCAGCAAAATTGTTTTTTCCTAGACTTTAAACGTACTCATTGAGTTGGTGATTAATTGACTGAAATTTCAATGTTCACTTCAGCATGCAGACATAATTCATAGCATAACTCTTTTCTTGTTAAAACTTCATGCATGATATAAACCTTAATACAAAAGATTCGGATAACGTAATAGGGGAAATCTTGTGCCAGGAGCACAATAATACATTTAAAACGGAAGTTTTAATGGGAATTTCCTTGGAAAGAGATAAGCGCGTCTGAATAGTTTCATTCTTCGGTAGTCTTCGATTTTTTTTTACCCGAGTAACGGCAAGCAGAAAGCGAGCGGGGATCGCGACTGCAAATCGGCTTACGAAGTTTCCGCCAATAATTCGCGGCCGTCGTGTGTGTGTGTGTGTGTGTGTGCGCACGCGAAAATCGATTTTTTCCCGTTTCTTCGGCGTTCCTCTTCAGCTCTCCTCCGCGAAAATCGCTTATTTCATGCACGCGGCCGTGCAGACGGCACTTTTATTTCCTGCGTGCGGTCCGCGCGCGATACATAAATAATAAAAGTAGTACCGGCGTGTAGTAACGTATAAATAATGAGACCGCGCGCGTTTCTCACGCAATAACCGACGGATCGAATGGTAAATCATTCGATATTGGCTCTCGTCCATGACGTACTGCGATCCAGCCGTCTAAATAGCAACCCCCATTCCTCCCCCTGCGTCTCCCTTTTTTATCGCCCTCTCCTGCTCCCGATTTATTATTCCGAATATCGAAACATCGTCGTGATGCCGCGCGACCGGAATGAAAAAGGGGCTCTCGATATAGCGTCGATTAACGAGATTCTTAAATGAGAAACATTTCTCGGTACTGAAAGTTCCATTAACGATATGAAAATATGCTTCCGCTTTACGTATTTCCGAGACAGTTTCGCGAATATCGAGAAACGTTTCTATTTTTTTATCATTATTTATTTTGTTAGATGCGCTATTTTAATATTTTATGCAAACGTTTTGATTTAGGAACGTCACATTTAAAGAATAGAAATTCATTAGGTAACCACAGATTAAAGAATTACAAATTGCTTTCCGAAGCGAAGTTGATCCGTAATTGTATTATATTTTACGATACGCATGATTTCATTGATTCGCTATAAATGGATTAGAATCTCATCTTGTGTAACTTTGTTCAGAGAAACATTTTTCGAATAAATACTTTTATTAATCTCGATAAAGCGTCCGAATCCGATTCCGTCGAATCCTTTTGGAGAAACGTTGTTAGCGAACGTAAATGGATTTCTTTATCGTCGAGATCATATATAGATACGCGGATTATTTGCCGAATAATTCGATAGATTGGCGCGCATTGATCACGAAGGAAGGCCCTCGTGTACATTTCTGTCAAAACCAAACGATTCGCTTCGCCAAGTACAACGATAGGAAAGCCTTTCAAACTCAGTCCTTTGACTCGGTACCATCGGGCGAGCAGAAAAAAAGAGGAATTTTCTTTTGCCCGGGGATCAATAACACGCTGTAGAAATTAAACTGACGGACCGTCGCGACGGCGTCGGGCTGGGCTTATCAACTTGACTGGCGAGATAGAAATCGCCATTCCGATGTAGAATATTGCAAAACAACTGTAGCCGTTCGGACTTGCGTACGAATGATCGAACTGCAATATCAACGACCTTTTACATTTGAAGAGATATTGTTTTCGAATTATGAGTGCTTTAATTTCCTTCAATCATTTGCACGTAATTCCACATTAATTTTAGATCGTAGAGCATAAACATATGTGGTCTCGCTTAATATTTTATTATGTAATTGCATATTTTAAAGTTAGATTCCTGCGAAAAGTTGAGCTATATTTCTTAATTCTTCTTCACTAATTTCGATATAATGTAATTGAGAGTTTTGACTTTTCTCTCTAAAATATTTTAGAGGTTAAATATTCTAACAACTATAAATGTAAAAATTGAATTATGAAAAGATGCATAACTTTACATTTTTGTTTCGTAAAAATTGGCATATAAATTTTACATTTTGAACAGGATCGATTCGAAATGTACTTTTCGGGAGGACTTTTGAAGCGCTATCTAGAACTCTCATGAATATGTCAAAGTCGCGAAAAATTTGATCGATGAACACTTAAAAAATGTTTACCCGAGGATGAAGAGCCGCAACGTTTTCATTTTCATCGTTTCGAGCGGTAACGGTTTGACAAAATCTTTTTTTTCGAAACACAACGAAAATTGGGTCTCTCTGACGACGAGCCAGAGAGTTGCCTCATCAGTTATCTATACATAAAAATTCTCGAAATGTAGCGGCAGTAGGTATACGCCATAATTTCGGGATTAAACGTATAAGATTAGTGAGTGGAATAAAATGTTGGATTACCATGACTGGAATTTCGGGGGCTCTTCGTGTGATCTATGTACATGGACTCTTATTCCTTCTGTACGCACGCGGCTCTCGGGGAGAAATGGCCCGTCCACCGGTTACGCGGCGCACCACGCACGCATGAGCGATGCGTGTACGGCAAATTGATATCCCTGTTTTACAGCGTGCAACGTGACATGATGCATTATAACCAGCCGGATACGTCGGCGTGACGGTTCTCTCCGCCGCGCGCCGTCGCCGTGAATGAATAATCACGCGTTGCACGCGGCGCGACGCAGTCTACTCGTTTCCCTTTTGTATCTCTTACGTCACTCCTCACATCCTTACATCCGATTTAATCCGGAGTGGACGTTGAACGTCGAAATTCAATAATAATTTTCTTATTGAAGCGAAGGATATTTTACTCTTGAGGCCATCAGAGTTAACTTTAATTGGAGCTTGTTTCATGAGAAATTGATCTCAATATATATATATTAATCTTTTTTGATTGAACAAATTAGTACAAATTTAATTCTTGGCATTTCTACTTTTGTTTTCTTTTTTTATGTGTGGTTTTTTTCTGCTGGCTTGATATAAAGCTAGCAGCGCTACGTTTTTCTTCAAAACGGCATGAGATCCAAAAAAAGTCTTTATTGGTAATACAAATTAGAACAAAATGAGTACTAAAAAAAATTGAATAGGTTCGGTTTGATTTTGAGCTTATTTGGTCCTGCTGACTTGATAAACGTGCATTGCGAGAAAACGTTTGCCTATACACAGCATCAACAAGAGAGATATATCGCTCACTAAAAATTATAAACAACGATAAATGCTGAACGCAATGTATTGTCGCGGATCGGCAAACTCCTCGCATGAATTTTTTTCCCCTTTTTTTTATCGCTCTTATCGCCGACATAAATCAGGACCCAAGTGTTTTCTCTATACGGTAGTCCGCCGAAAGCACTTCTCGATAAGAGCGCGGGGCTCTCAACGGAGGCCCGGGGACGATACTTAAAATTCCGTGCCTCGAAACGCGCGCGCTATAGCGACCGCTCAATTAAACGTGATCTTTTGTTCCCACGTGGTGCGTACCCCTGGCAGACGCGTGGAATCTACTCGCGATCGCGGGGAATTAAAAATGCGGCCCTCGTACTGGAGGCGGCTTTTTTTACGAGCGGCGGACCCCCGTGAGAGAGCGAGAAAGCGCGGCATTATTTTTACGCGGTCGGACACGAAATTGAATTTTCCGAGCCCTTTCGCCCCCCTTTTCGGGCGCTCCGCGTCGCGGCAGAGAATCCTATTAACCACACGTAGGAACAATGCAACCTAAATAGCTGTACGTACGTCGCGAAGGAGGAAGGGAATAGAAGGTAAGAGAGAACCGTGTTCGCGTGGCGTGGCACGTCCTATACGTATGTATACGTCGGCCCTTTGCCTCTCAGATTTTTCTCGGTATTTCCCTCACGCGGGCAAGCGATTTGAAAGTGCACTTATTCAGTCGACATTTCTTCGATAAATTGTCGGAATAAATAATGTATTCGGCGAAATACTATGTCGAGTAAATTGTATGTTCAGCAATATATAATAGCAAGAAGTAAATAATTAAAAATTGAGCCACACGTACAGTGTATTGATCAGAAACTATTAAAGTATTAAAGTGATAATTAAAAATATTGATTAACCCTCGAGGGGCGAGTGTTGCATATTTCCAACGTTCACTTTACAACGAAATTCAGGATAAATTCGGGATAAATTCGGAATCTGTGTAGATTAGTTACACACTTAAGAATTGAAGATGGAAATGTATGTAGCATTGAATGTTGAAATATAATTAATGTTTCTTACCGTCAAAAAAAATATGCGTCGATATATATCGAGAAAATATTATATATTTGAAGAATATTATGTATGTTGCAATATTGTTTACTTACTAAATTATTTTTGAGTAAAATCAATTTAAATAAATTGTTTTTTTTTTATAATAATAAGACGCTGCCATCTCTAGCGGTTTAAACAGATTTGTAAGATGCAAAATTTAGTAGTTTACATATCCGTAGCTTCTGCCTTGTATGTACAGACTCGTAACTCGACGATTTATGACGAGACTCGTCCAATGTGGATGCACGGGGTAAAACATAGCGAAATAATATTCCAATCGCGCATAGTAGATGTAAACCCGGAGAGGAAAGACTCGTAATACAATCCGTAAACGCGGCGTTTCGCTGAAAGTGGGAACGCAGACGCGAAGATCGACGCGAAGATGCAGCCACGCGGAGATCGACGCGCGCGGCCATTGTGTTTAACCCAACGCGCGTTATTTCACGGATATGAGAACGAGCCCCGTTTCGAAGCGTACGCGCGCGCGCGCGCGCGCGCGCTCGCCGGAAATTAATCTTCGTCCCGCGGTACAATCGTTCGCCGCCGAACTCGTGCATCCGTTCTATCTGGCGTCGATGACGCTGCGTGTGACGGGAGGTGTGTAGTTTGCAGCAGGGCGTGTCCCGCGTGTGTGCACACGTATACGGAATACGAAAATGTTGATTCGTGACCGATGAAGTTTCGAGGGCGCAACGGTGACGCGCGCGCGGCGTTAACGAACGCGCGCGCGGGAATCCGGTCCGTGTCCCGCGACGCGCGCGCGAAACCGACGGATGTAACAATTTCCATATGATAATGACGTTCGGCGCACAAAGGGCGCATCGCGTTAACGCCCGCGCGCGCGCGCGATTGAACATCGATGCCTGTTTATTCTGCCAGCTCTGAGTTTGCAAAGCTCACGCGTGCGTGCGTGCGTGCGTGCATGCGTGCGTGAGCGCGTCGAGACGTGCGTGCCGCTGCCACTCACGCGACATGTGTAAATAGCAATTACAATAGCGACAGCCGGAGGTATCGTCTCGCCCTAACGTCGGAGATTCCTCCTCGGAAATATAATAGAAAATGTAAATCTCGTGATGTATAAAAAAGCTTTCCCCCTCGAAATAAGTATTTGTGATTTAAACAGAATAAATAAGATAAAGTAAACAAGAGCGAGATAAAAACGAATAATGTAAAATGGGCCAAAAGTGAGCAAAAGAAGGATGCGAAATTAAGTAGCGTTTAAATTTAATGACTCTGTAGTTAAAATGTATCAGTCTTAATGTAATTACTATCACGAGATACGTGTTATGGCTCGACGTTAAAGAGACCGCGCCGGCTCGAACCGGTGTCTCTTTTTGCGAGCCGGCGAGTCGCGGGCACCCGATCTAGATATACGTATTGGCAGCAGTGAAAATTAGCTAAACGTTGGATGGCTAAACTTGAAACAGTTTCTCGTAATGAAAATTTAACATACTTTCTTTAAAAGCGCGTCATTATTCATTGAATAATATGTACTATACATAACTTCCACAGTAAAAGTTAACGAAAATAGAACATCTTCTCGAATCATATTAACATCTGTAGTAGTCCTATTAAAAAACTGAATGGATTTAAACTATAGAGTTATTCAATTTATACTTTATGTAATTGAACATTTTGTATTTTTTGTCCGTTTTTAGCCTGTTATCATATTTTACATATTTTTTATAATAACGAGCAGAACATTTATCTTAATTATTATTAAAATTAAATAAACTTAATCAAAATAAACGAAAACTGTAGAAACAATTGCAATCGACTAGATACCTATATTTGGGACGTAAAAATAGGAAGCGGGATTTAGATTCAGAGAGAGAAATGATTCAAATTAAGAGACAGAAAAATTTTGAGAAGTAGAAACAATTTTAATCCCATTGAAAGAGACGAGCGCGTAAATGATTAAATGTATAAATAAAATAAATAATGTAGTAGAGATTGAGATGTTGTTTTTTTTTTCAAGAAAAAAAATTAGCTCGTGGCGCGCAGACGTTCTTGAGTGGCTATACGGCATTAACGAGCGTCTTTCCCGTTGCGACTCGAGGCTGCACAGTACCCCAGAATCATCGTAATCGAATTTGCCGAGCAACAGTTGTAAATCATGAGGACCGGCTTGCTCGTGCCATGTGTTTCGAGCGAAAACAGAGAGAAGTAGAAAGGCAGTTGGAGGGAGTGTGGGAGCGAGGGAGCGGTGCTTAGGGGAGCTCTATAACCCCCGTTTTAAGGGTGCAGCAATTGCGAGCGTTACTTCGACGATCGATCGCGCTCTCGCACGGTCTTTTCGTACTTCCTCGCCTAGCTAAAAATGTAAAACAGCAAACGGCAACGAAGCAAGCTTCCGAAGTGCTCCGAGAGGTTTTCTAAATTAATTGGAAACACCACCGATTTCCATATGTTCAACAATTTAATTTAACTTAATTTAACGGTGCTGATAATTATTCGTAAAAATAGCAGTTGCAACTAATGATAAAATCAACTAGTAGATGTTTTAATATCGTCAAAAAGACCCATGCGTTTAATTTATAATAAAAATGTTTTTAAACAGCATCTAAGAATAATTATAATGTGCGTGAAAGCTTAACAAATACAAAATCTTTCGTTTTTCTGAATCGAAATTTCATTATCTTACAAATTTTAAGGATCGAAATGTATGTATAATGACAATTTCTATACATTTTTTAACACATTTAAGTTATTACGTATATAAAGCATTAATAAGTCTTTGAAGTTCATATAGTTTAAATATCATCTTTGTTGGAATATATACATATATCTCTTATTTACTACAATAACTAAAAAATTGAACGATATATCAAGATATTCCCATAAAATATATGATATTAAATTAAATTCTTTGCCGTATATTTAGTTATCCAATTAGCGAGACGATCGCAATTTCCCTGCGCGCGAGCCGTGAATTTACCTTTATTAAATGTCAACGGAGTACAATCGAATTGAAACTCATAACTGGCTCGAAAGTTACCTCGCCAAGGACATAAGCAACGATATCTGTCCTGTTGTGGGGGAAGACCGCGCCGATGGGAAGACGGAGGGTGTTGCCAGGCGCTCTGCGGCAACGCTCTCGCTCGAAAGCCTCCCTCGAAAAGCTTAAATCGGCTTCATATCTCAGGCCGCGCCCTCGCATCCCTAATCAGATCATTAACCCCGCGGTGCGTTCGCGCACGAGGAAGTTCGCCAAACAAAAATCTCGATCTTTCGCGATTTGCTCCGTCGTGAGCGATGCGAGAAAAAGGAAGTCAGGCTTGACACCCGAGAAAATGAAGGAACGCCGCGCCGGCGGAATGTGAAATGCATTCAGGGATACTTAAATCTACTTAATACTCGAGTCTAGAATCGTTAAGAGGGTGAAAAGTTGAGTTCGGAGATAATTGTCAAACTTTGAGGCACCAATAAGGGGCTAAGTATCTTAGAGATGTATAATCCGCGATTTAATTTCATTTATTTGAATTTATTTAAATGAAAAATATTGTATATGAATCCAACACTCCCGTGCGGCGCGCAAATCTATATAGCCCTTCGGTGTCACTGTGAATGTGACATACTCAACGTTTTCTTTTACTTTATATAGCTTTTTGTTAATAGATACATATACATTTGCTTGTTACCGTTACCGTTTATTATGTCTGACGTTTCGATTGAAAAGAAAAATTTGTTGTAATATGTTCTTATTTATACAATATTTTTATATAATGCCCAGTATTGCTTCCGTGACAAAAATTATAGCGTGGCACCGAAGGCAATTTATAATTTTAAAAATTCTTACGAGAGCGAGCGCGAGACAAGAATGGAGGGAGTGCTGGTGAGAAAAAAAAAGGAGAGATCTTCTTTTGCGAGTTTATCTCACGAGAATAGAAATCCCTTTCGTCGGAAGCGAGGCTCTTCAGGGCCAAGGCGAGGTCGACGAAGAGAGCAAATAAATTTCCCGGCGGCACAATAGGAAGCTACCGAGGAGGCTACGGGAATGGTCTCAATGGCTCATTCAATTAGGATCTTTTCAACGTGGATTAAAATCCGCGAGCTTCCTCACGCTGACGGTTTTCTGATTTGTTGTTGCAGGATGGAGGAGTCGTCGCGGAGTCTGCTGCAACAGAAGCACCGGGCCGAACAGCTGAAGCAGGAGAAAACGGCGCTCACATTGTCCTACGAGGTACGTAAGGTTTTGTCTGATCCTCGCTGGATTGTCACGGCTGCGTTTTCGCGGAGTGCGCTATTGTGTCATTTTATCTTTATCGGTCGTTAGACGTAAAACAGAATGACGCTATATAGCGCTGATAATACGCTGCCCGAACGCAACCTAAATAACTCGCTACATTTTAAAGATTTTTATCTAAATAATTTTTTTAATATGTTCCTTGTAATCTTATATACAGCTTTGGCCATAAATATAAAGCACCCCCGCAAATTAATGTTAAACATGCTACATCTAAAATAAATAAATTAGAGGTAGTTTTATTGAAAAATAATATTTAGTTTTTTAATAAAATATATAAAGTAATATTTATTTTTATGATAATTTTAATATTTTATTAGTCTTCCTTTGGCTTTTATTACCATCTTTTTCAAGAAAAATAACTTGCGGCTACTTTATACCTATATTGGCTGCAAATGAAAATATTACGAGTCCAACACTTACGACGCACATTACTAACAATTTATAATTATGATTTAAAAAATTCTTACGCAGAATGAGAATGAGATAAATTTTATAACAATTTTAATATTTTATTAGTTTTCCTTTGACTTTTATTACGTCTTTTCCAAGAAAAATAACTTGAGAAGATAAATACTTTATGCTTATTGGCTGTAAATGAAAAAAATATTATAAGTCCAATACTTACAACGCACATATCTATACAATTTATAATTATGATTTAAAAAACTCTTACGCAAAATGAACGTGAGATAAATAAAAATAGAGAAATGCCTTGTAATCTTATTTTAGTACCGGGATTATAAATGGAGAATTAAATGTAAAAGTCACATAACGTTTAACTTGTAAAATTAAACGTATATATCACGATCTAATAAACGAACTACAGATTTTTATGGACACTCAACGTGCGTTTTGAAACGGAATAGGAAATATTCACGACGTCCCAACGAATTTATCTTCAAGATTTGTCGCCCGTTTTTGTCAATCAAACGTGGCACAACGTGGTGCTGCACGAGACGACGACACGATAATCGATGTTGATACGCAGATCATAAGATGATCGAGCACTTATTGTTAGGGAATCGTGCGTCGCGAGGTCTACGGTTTGCGTGGAAGCCGCAGCGCCGATGACAGTCCCGGTAAAAGGTTTCCCCTTATCCAATAATACCGGCCTCCTTCACGGCGACATGCCCTTATTGTATTTCACCGCGCGCGAGCACTCTCTCCGGCCCAGGATTGTCCCGTGCATTGTTACAAAACCCGAATTTTGCGCTCGCTTCCCATTATTAAACGTCAAGTAGCGTGCCCGATTCTCGCGGTAGCTTTGTCTCGTTTCGCGCACATCGCTCGTATAGTCGGGGTCGAGCGATCTAATTCCGCGATTTCAGCCTTTGCGACGATTTACGAGATACTCTCCTTTTCCCCTTTTGCGGAAGTTTATCTTATTACTGCACTTCCCTTCTTGAGGGAATAATAAAAAAGTATATGGTACAATGAAATATTTCAAGTATCAGGTAAAAAGTGCAAGAATGTAACTGAAACTTATTATTTTAAATAAATCGCAATATCTTCTGTTAGATACACTTATTTTTATTATTCATATTAGTCAAAAGTTTATCGATTTTATTGAAATATTGGAGATTTTACCTTTAAACTCTTTATAATCGCTTTTAAAAATTTTATATAAATTTTTTTTTACGCACTACCGTTTGTAAAAAAACATATTTCTTGAATAATTTTTTTTATTTTTTGACGACATTTTTATCTTTTTTAAATATAAAATAAAAATATCTCTCACGGTTTGATATGTTGCCTGGAAAAAAATTTATACCTTTTTCATCAAAAAATCTCGCTGGATAATAGACGGGTGAGAAAAATGGGTTCACGGAATACCTTCCGTGGTACTCCGCACTCCGGCAATGTCTCCAAAATGTCCGGAGAGAAATATTATTAAGTAAAAATTTGAGAAAAATTTCATTAAGTAAAAATGTGGAAAATTAATTAATAGAATGTCTAAAATATATATATACTTAAGATTGTAATAAAAACAAAAGGGGGATTTTATGAAAAAAATTGTAAGTTTTCTCAGCAATATATCAATTCGTGACATGTTTCAGTGTATCTTTCTCTTCCAATTCTAATACGATAATTGCTATTTTATTATGTCTCTTTGAAAAGACATATACTTGGAATATTAATTCGTTTTCAAGTCTTTTCTCACCTTTTCTCTATGCCGTGACGTAATCTCGCGCTGACCCCTCTCTAGATTCGGCAAACTTTAGAGTTAATACGACAATCGTCGCGTTGCGGATCGCGCGAATCGCGCGCGAAGCGATTCCGGAATTGATGCTGCCATCCTATCTAAAAGAATAGCCGTCGATAAACCCCGCTCCCGTGCGCTCGCTTCTCGTTTCCGCAATTCGCGACTCTCGTAAAGCTCTCGCGGACGATGATTTTCGGCGTAAAACGCGTACGCTGCTGGGGAGGGTGAAGAGGGGAGGAGGCAGGGGACGCAGGTAATAAAGGGAGGGAACAGTAAACGCGGACGTTTACTGCCGATCCTTACGGCATGCGCGCTATCTCGTTCACGGGCGGTTTGCCCCTAAAAGAGTCGTACGGTACCGAGGGGGGTGTCTTCCCTCCTCCCTCCTCCCGCCGCGGCAGCGGCGGAGGGTAACGGGGGCGAGGTAGAGAGAGGCTATATCGCCGTCCCCCACGAGAAATAACGTTTAATATCGATCGTCACTCGATCCCCGGTTTCGATGTCGACCCGCCACACCGCCTGTCAATGACAAGCCGCGCAATCTCTACGGGAAGCGCAGTGTATAACGTTACGTCTGAACGCACGAATGTATACTTCTATTCGCTGATGCACGCGGATCGGTGACAATCTGCAAGGGAAAAATTCTGCGGAGTCGGGTCGAGTGACGAGACGAGGGATCTGGGACGACGTTCCCGGAGGAATTAATTCCCGGCTGGAGAGAAAAATTGAGAGACCGTGAGCTCACGTAGCAGCGCGTTTAATAAAATTTAGAATTTTAGAGTAATTTTTTTTATTTAAAAAATATAATATTATATAACAGCAGTATGTTATAAAACTATAGATATTATTAATACATATTATTAATTTAACCCAAAACGAAAAGAGTCTTACTCGCCCAAAGCGGATCTTATAATGTTTAATCATTTTTCTATATATAAATTTTAAATACATTTTTTTTCTGTTCTGTAAACTGCGCGCCGATTATTGTCGAACTTGAAACGCAATCCTATAAAGCTAAAATATCACAAATTAAATTAATCGTCAATTTTATTTAATATCACCCGAGTGGTATTTTTTCGCAATACATTTTTTAATATTATTCCGGGGTGATATTAAAGATTTCGTTGACACATCATAAAATTCGATTTTTCTAACTCCGAATCAACTAAATTTATAGACCGAGAAGGTAAACTCCAAATTGAAACATTTGAAATCTTTTTATAGCCGTTTCTCCAAGCAGAGTGTACATGGGACTTCGGGATCTCTGCGTCGTCGAGAAATAACGCGTGTCTACGAGAATTCGCAGAAGGCGGACGGTCTGCATTTTTACTCTCCCTCAGGCCGAGGCACGACAGAAAATCGTTGGTTTCCTCGCTCGATGCGACGCGGGGGGGAAGGATGTATGTGCGTTGGCGAGGGCCGATTATAAATCAGACACACGCACCCTCTATTAGCACCCCTGTTCCCGACAGAGCCTCCTCCGCGGCATTAATTCAACGTTAAACGCCTTTCTGCTAATAACGACCGGTTATTATTGCCGTGGCCGCGACCGCGAGTCGCGAGAAAAGCCCGTCGCTGTCGCCGTCGCATCGTCGGCAAACAACGCGCGCCCGGATTTCGTTTGCCGAAACGTTTCCGAGACTCGTTTCTCGTTTAACTCCCCCGACCGTTCCGCTGTTTAAAAGACGCGAGTCCTGATTCGAGGCAAACAGCAATAAGAGAGGCGGACCGGTCACGAATCTCACCGCCACGTAATTACTTCCGTTTGAGAACGAAAGTAAGGAGGCCTCGACGGTGTGGCGGGAGTTGAAGTTTTTAAAGACCTCAGCTGCAAGTTGAGACTCCCTTTCCGATGAGATTGAAAATCAGACGTCGGAAGATTCTCCAACTTTAGAAAGAGCTGTAGAGCGCGACCTTGAAGATGCAAAAACGAGCTTTAAAAAAGATATTCTGGTGTACGTTTGGCAAAATAATTCCTTTCAGACAAGTCAAGAAAGTTGAAAGTATGGAAAATAAATGTGTATGTGTAATATACAACCATAAGTACAAAGTATCCCCATAAATTGACATAAATGTTTTATATCTAACAAGAAATAAAAAAAGTTTAATTTAGAATTAATATTTATTTTTATAACAAATTTTAATAGATTGTTGTATTTTGTTTGTCTTCCTTCGGCTCTTATTACTGCCTTTTCTAAGGAATAAATTGAGGATGCTTGATATTTCTGGCCAAGGCTGCATATTCTATATTTACGCATGTCTCTTCTCCGCAAAATTGTTTAACTTATATAGGACTTCTGATGAAAACATAAAATTTTCAACGATTCGCGGAATAGATAGAAAAATGGATTTTTGCATTTCCGAGCGACCGGATGAGAGCCTCGTGCGTTTACATAATAATAATAATCCGTCACTGGGGTGTTCTCCGTGTGTAGTCCCGCGAGCGGGTATTTAAGAAGCAAATGGCAATCGTCAACGAGTGCCACGGACGTAATTACTTCCATTCGGGAGCGGGAGTAAGAAGACCGTCGCGGATGTTCCAAGTATTTTAAGCACGGATAATTTAAGAGCGGTTCCCGTTCCGTAATAAGACCGCGTCCGCGCGTCGAGGTAATTGCGGAAATATCCGTGTTGCCGCCGCCGGGATATTTAAATCTCCGCGATCCGACCGCGCGGTCGATTTTCTTTTTACAGTGACCGAGTTAAACGCGAGCGCGCGACGCTTGACGCCCAAGGAGTCGCAAGGGCCACGACGTGAGTCACACACACTCCGGCTTGATAGGATCGAAACAATCCATTAACGCTTAATTTTAACGACCGCAAGGGAATTCGAGCTTCTAGCGCGTGCTATAACGCGCGGGATATTTATGGAGCACTCCTGGCCTTCGTTGGCCTGCAATTTTTTACTTTCACGCCGAGATTATGATCGCGAATGTGCTTTAAATAAGATTAGAACCGTCGAATATGCAAAGCGCTCGCCAAGCAATAATTTATGTTACCATTTTAGACGACCTATAAATGTTCCCAGAAATTAAAGTGCCAGATTTGGAGCTGCCTTCTACCTTGCTACCTTGTTGCATAATTTATTTTTGAAGAAGAAATGAAAGTAGTCAAAGTATCGAGATATGTTTATAACGTAATTCCAAAAATTTAGTTTTATCCTCGCAAATATCTTGAAATTGTGATATAATTATCTCTTTGACTTTTTGGCCGAGTTTTGCTCTTTAACGAAATGTCTTGCTTAATTATTTTATATTTTTAAATCTACAAAGAGAGAGATTTTCACATTATAGAGACACCATTATAGATATTATAGCTGTAAACGATAATAATAATTACTATATGCAACATTAATTAGTTATAATGATCATCATCATTATAATATGTTATATTTTAATGAACTACTAGCAACAATAATTATCGCTGCAGCCTGTCGTAATTAGAGATGTTACTGTTAATTTTCAGACCTTTCTCCCCTTCCCCTGGTCCAACGATAATTCCCGCGCCGTTCAAACGAAATTTCGGATTACGCTACGCTTACCGTCACGTCACAACGCGCTTAACAACGTTCATGAAATATCATCAACAGCACTGTCGCGACGTCATGTTTAGTTTAGAGATGACCTGCACACCTACGGTCGCAGGATATGTGCCGGGAGTAATTTTCGCACGTCTGCACTTGCAGGCGCGCGTGCACCAGTACCAGACGCAGTTATCGAAGCTGCAGCTGGAGAACGAGTCGATGCGTGGCCAGCTGCGCGGCCTGGAGGCAGCATGCGCCGGTGAAGTGCACGCCGCGCTGGTGGCACGTCTGGCGACCCTCGAGACCGAGCACGCGGCCCTGGCGCGGGACGCCGACGCCCAGCGTCGGCAGTACGAGCGGTGCCTGGACGACGTCGCCAACCAGGTGGTCCGCGCTCTCCTATCCCAAAAGGTTCATCGCTATGCTTACGTTACCACTCACCCCCTTTTCTCCGTCCCCTTTCTCGGTCTTTTCTCGTCTCCCTTCCGAATAACCCGTGTCCGCGCGCTCTACTAAAGGCTATTGTGTAGAATGCTGAGGAAAATTGTTTTTTTTTTTTTTTTTTTTTTTTGTAAACTTTGAGCTTGTTTGAAGAATTCCACAAGAGGCTTCTCCAAGCATTCTGACCTCTGGAAAAAGGCTTTTCTTTTTGGGAATAAAGCTGAAAATGTATACGATCTTGCGCGGAAAAGATTTTACACATTATTCAATTTTATATGAACTTTGCTTAAGCAAAATTTCATCTCTTTCACTATGACGTATTTAATATCTAATTTGATCTGCTTGTTTTATTAGCTTTTTTTCTTGGCATTTCTAATTTAATATGAGAGCCATTTTGCACATATTTATTATTAAGAATATAAAATTTGAAGTCGTGTATTTTTTTCAGCACTCTATAATATGTTCAGGATCTTTCGCGCTTGGGAAAGTAATAATGTCTTATTCGAGAACATTAATCTTTTCAAAATTAAAAAAATTAGTAAAACAATAGCAAAATATTTTATATTTTTGCTGATGCATTTTCCCTTTTAAGATGAATAGTTTAGAAAAAAATATAAAAAAAAATCTAATGAATTATACAGATGGTTTATATAGGTATATGGAATTTGTACAAGTTTACGAAACATTAATTGTAAGTGTCATTTTTTCAAAATGTTATTTTTAATATTTAATATCAATTTTTAAGTTTTACTTGAAAAATACTGTTTTTTTGAAAGGATTAATCGTCGCTAACACGCTTTTCCCCACCCGCTAATGCGCTTTTCGAACGGTATACTGTCGCGAGACGTATTGAGTAAGAGTACTGATGGCCAGCGAACTGTTCTCAGGGTCTCAGAGAGGAAATAGGCGCGCTGCAGAGACGTATACGAGAGCTTGAGGCTCAAAATCGAGCGCTGTCGGGACTCTTGGCGCAGGCTGCCAGTCCTGGAAGCCCTACCGAACTTCTCCAAGGAATCCTCGAGGCTAGTCCAGCCGCCCTGGTCGCCGCCTTAGGTCTGGACCCCTCCTGGGTCCCCCTCTCGAGGCCGCGTTCCCTCAACTTGCAGATACCCGTGATGGCAGCCACTAAATGCCGACGCAACAGACCTCTTGGTACTACAACTAAATAACAAATTTTAATCAACTCTTTGTCTCTCAACAAGTAATGGGTGTTTCTTGTAGGGCTTTTTATACTGAAAAAATGTGCTTTTAAAAAAATGTCCTTACTCTTTAATGTTTGGAAACTTCGCTTTGAATTTCTTATGTAATAAATTAATAATTTAATTACGTAATTGAACGTTATTTATTAAATTACGCAAATTTGTAATTACATGTAAATAATATATAGCTACAAGAAATTTAAATAGGTTTTTTGCAATGTATATGAAAATAATGATGGTGCCTCTTTTGTTTGTATTCTATTATTCACTTTACGACGACGTTATTATATAACGACGATATTATGCAATATAAAATGATAAACCGCGACGCGTCCACTCCTCTCGAGACCGCTTGACCGCTTGATCGATTTTTTTTTTGCAGCGCAAAAACCGTCGGAGGAGGAAGGCAGCGAGAGCCCGGAGAGCGGTAATCGCGACGAGGGCTACTCGACCATGTCGAGCGACGTCCAGGGCGAGGGCACGCGCCAGGAACCGTCCGCGCGCGGCCTCGAGGACCTGAAGGAGGCCACGGACGAGACCGAGGCGGACGTATCGCCGGACGCGCGCCTCGTCGCCCTCGACGCCGGCGATCCGGACGTGCTCTTCCTACCTCTGAATCTCACCGTGGGCATCAATCCGCGCCACAGCTATCCGCCGACTAAGGATCTGCTGCCCTATCAGCACGTGATGCGCAGCTTCTCCGACAGCCACCTCTGTCTCAAGCTCACCACCACCACCAATTTCACGCCGTATAAGCTACCCAGTCCCGTGGGCTCGTCTTCCCTCCTGCTGGTGGAAGAGGAGGGCTGGGACGCCGAGTATGTACAACAATGGCTCAGGTTTGTTTGCCATTATTATGTACCTTAAAAGGCGTTTAATTGTTGGATTATGAAGTGTTGATTAGGGAAACGTGTGAATGTGATACTCGAGATATGACTCTTTGATGTGAATCTCTTTTCTTATTTTATTAATGTTATTGACTTCTTTTCTGAAACTTTTTTTAAAGAAGCTACACTTTTACTTCCACGCATCATAAAGATTCGAATATTATACTAAGTTTAGTGTAATAAAAAATTAGATTATATATTAATATAAAAATTGAATTACATACTAGAATTTATATTCGAAAAAACATTTCAAGTATATTATACACACAAATTGTAGTAAAGCTTTACATATTTATGCAACTCGCGGTTTTACAATTGGATATTTTACGAAATCGGAAATACAGCCGGAAAGAAGAACCATATTCTCACTAGAGCCGGTAGATTATCGATACACAACCGAAAGTACATCGGAATTGATCACCGCGGGCGGATTTCAGGCTCGATGACAGCAGAAGCGCGCAGCAGCATCGAGATCTGCTCGAATTGGAGTACGACAGGGCGGAGCTGGAGGATTGGAGCTTCTCCCTGTCCACGGAGGACCTCGTGCAAAATGAATCTGCAATGTGGAAGGAGCAACCAGCTACTACAAACACACCCGCCCTGCCGGCAATCAAGGAGCATAATCTCCTGGAATTGGAGGAGGACGCGAACGAGTGTCTGTGGAATGGCGCGAGCTATCTCGCTGACAGAACGGGAGGAGAGTTGGTACGTCTGTTGAGTGTTACACGATATCGATCGACGGTCTACGACGTTCACTTATCCTAATAAAAATGTTACAAGAAGTCGAGTTGCCATTGCAGTCTAATTCGAATGAATACAGGCGCACGCGTCAAATGTACAAAGTAGTTTTAAACTTTCGAAAGAATTAATCCTAAAGGATTTAGATTTGCTGTTTATCTTCGCGACTTATAATTATTTAACTTTTGAAATCGAAAATATTTGTTACTTGTCTCTTATCTCTCCTCTCTAAAGTTTTATAACAAATTTTTAAATATTTGAAGACAGTAATAACACATATATATAATATTAATAACTAAACTCGACTCAATTTGAATTGTAGCTATAAAACAATTTGACTTAATGAAGTCAATGCAAGTTTAAGATATATAACACGCCAACTCTGTCAGCTGATTGCGATCTTTTATTCTCCCAGGTTGCGCTTTTAATGGACGCGAGAGCGACCGGGCCCTGGCCGTATGCTTCGAGTCCCGGTGCGTCCTGGAGCAGCGAGGAGGGTGCCCTGGAGAATTCGAGTAAGCGTTCGTCGGCGGCGCTCTCCGGCTGCAGCGACGATCCCGACACTCCGTCGATCGGCACGGATTTCACCAGGGACTTTTATCGGCTGGTGAAGTTCGAGAGTACCAAGAGCCTGGCGAGCACGTCGTCCAGGAGCGGTAGACCGCCGCCGGACAGGGAGCAAGCGCTTCAGAGCGTCCTGTCTTTCATCGCCGAGCAACAGATGTACCTCGCGGAGTTACCGAACAATCCCGTGGAGCCGCAAAACGTGTCTTACTCGACCGAAGGTGATTATAATCAATCATCAGCATTCGCTAATTAAACAGTAAAGCGTTTCACGCTGTCTATTTTCCATTCAAATTATTAATCATTGACATGATTGTAATTCGAGAAGAAAATAAACAAAAAAGCAATTAAAAGAAAAAACCTTTTTGAAAAATATATGTTTCGTTATCATTATAAAGCTAAGATGAAAGATTGAGAGGGAGAGAAAAATATATGTTTTAAATCGCGGCTCTTACAGAAGTGGGCCCTAGCATAAATGATTCCACGGGGGAGACGAAGGTAGCGGAGGTAGAAGGGTCGTCCGTTCAGGAGAGCAGTATCGGAAACGCGATCGAAACGAGCAGTAACGACGAGCTGCTCGATCAGATACAGGTACCACCGTTGGCACCCGAGGAGAGAATTCTAAGTGCCGTGTCGTGTAACGGCGGTATCGCGTATACAACGGTAGCTCCGTCGGAATTGGGAGCCGTTCCCGAGGAGGACGAAGAGGCCGCGACTTCCTCCACGCCTAGTACGGTTGTAAGTATTTGCTTCCGAACTACATTACTGTTCAAATTTGCACAGGGTGGGGGGGGGGAAGGAAAGCAGAAAATTGCACACGTTTCCTTTTTCTTTCCTGAAGAGGTAATTTCCTTATTTGAAGGGAAGATTCGCGAAACTTTACTGATATTTGTTTCGCTTAATTGATTCTTAACGTATAACAATATTATAAAACAATATATAATTAACATATTAATTATTATTGTGTTGTTAACATATTAATTATTATTGTGTCAATGCTAAAGAGAGAGATTAGTTTTGTATTTATAAATAAAAATTCGTCATCTAATTTCCAGTCAAACATTTACCTATAACTATAATAACGATTCCATTTACGTTTATACAGGTCAGCCCGGCACGAGCGACGCTTCTCGTGGAGGGTAGAGATCGAACATTGAGCTTCCATGAGCGCGCCACGTCCAAGGACGTTATAGATGAATTGAACCGCATGATTCGAAAGGGCGAGGATACCAACGCCGCTAACATCGAGCTGCCGCTGGAGAAACTGGATCTCGCATGCTGCTGTCCGACAGGATGGGTTCACGTTGAACGTGACATTGACTTCACCGACCCCAAGGTGAGCTGTCTGCCGAAATGCAGAACTAAACTGTAGAAATTTTAAGCAACAGATAGATAATAGAATAATGCTCACAGATAAAGTACGCTCGGACGATTAAAATTAAGTTACCGATTAAAAAAAAAAACACCGATCGCTAGAAATTATTTTTCTTAAATACAATAATTTTTCAGTTTAAAGCTTCCACAGATGAAACGTGTTACGTAGATCGCTTCCCTTCATTACGCTTTTATTTCTACGCGAAAATAGACTAGCAATACTGATCGCTATACTTTTATTCAGGCCAGAGCCAATCTCTTAGACGTGATGTTAGCAAGCAGCGAGAGTTCCTCGGCGACATCGAGCAGCGGCTCGGCGGGCAGCGACTCGGGGGATGAGCCACCTGATTACCGCCACTTGCACAGATTACACCGGTACCGACGGCAAAAGAAAGGTATTCGTCTTCGGGTATCTACTCCGTAGACTACTTTCGCCATGCCGTTTTCGCGCATCACCAACTCACCACCTTTGCGCAAAAGAACGCGTGATTTAAATGCGATCCTTACGCGATCTCTAACATTCTTAGCGCCTAATCCTCAGCTAACTTTCTTATCGACAACCGTTTTTAATACTCTCATTGTGCTTTTTGGTTTAAAATTGTGATGAAATTTTTTATTAATCGATCGGCGTGGAAAACGTGCAAAAAGCTTGAAGCTGGAAGCATTTCATTAACAAAAATTCCAATATCTTGGATGTCTATACGTTTCACGCGGAACAACGTACGATCTGAATTATCGTTTTATCAATTGTCAGAACATCTGAATTGTCGTAATCTATTTTAGTGGATGAAATGCTGCTACATTGATTTCAGATTGTACAGATTTTATACCTGAACTCAATTTTAATTTTAATAACTTTAAGTATCAAATGCTTCGTTTGGTCAATCTCGGATTACATTTAGAGTCGTCTGTATGTATCTTATATATATATTTTATATGCGATATCCTGTTTACACTGTTAAAAGAAAAGATCGTGTACATTAGTAGATAACAGTTCAGATATTCTGACGCTAATTTACGTATAGTCACCCAACGTTGGAGGGAAAGAAGCTTGATGACGCTTTAGAGAGTTCTGTAGGTGGTGTGCGAACAGCGCTTGCCCTCGCGTAAGCTTAAGAGACACAACACCCTTTTCTCATCAAACACACATCAAAATCGATCGTCACACACCTGTAAACACGTTGACCTCACACTCGATCGAGCGGCTGTTTTTCGTCTACTCTCGCAAATTAGACACTCGCAATTAACACAAGTACAATTTACAGTACAGTACGACTGTCACTAACTCTCCCCGCTCGCGCTCAGTAGCCTTTTCGCTGTACATAGCCTTTTCCATATTTTCTGTTCAGATGGTAGCTCCTACGCGGTGTGCTTTGATTGTCACAAGAAAAGCTACGTAGTTCGGCTTAGTGACGATCAGTTTCTATAAGCGACATGACCAATTGGGGAGGAATGCATTGCCGCGCCGGGGAAACCTATTTCGTCCTGAACTGAAAAACCACGTGTTACGCCCACAACGGACTGACCATTGGTTTACACTAACAGAATTGTTAACCGGCAGTGAACGTTCCTGGCGTAGCGCCTTCACGCAATTCCATCTCTCCGTCTCTCGTTCACGTGTACTTGCGTGGCCTACATTGGCACACATTGCCGTCCGAAAGTCTTGGGACAAGATACAGAAAGGTACATTGAATATAAATGAATATCGATATCGTCTATATATATATATATATATATATATATATAATCAAAATGGTAAAACGCGTGTGTGTATATAATCAAAAGGGGGAAGATTACACTGTGTAATCAAAATGTAGTGCGATCTCTTAAAATGCATTATATCTAGTTTTATATGGATAATCAAACGGTAATGAGCTGTCTACAAAACTGCAACGCAATTCGGAACACCCAAAGACTTTTTGACAGGAGTGCAAGTTGATGTGCAAATTCAATGTCGTTTAATGTCTTTTTAAAAATGAAAGATGAGCGAGCGATGTATACGAGACTACAAATATGATGATCGTGTACAAGTCACTGAAATGAAACAGCTCAAGTGGAATTGCGTCAGGGTATAAAATTGAAAATAATTACCTTCTCACTCGTTGTACTGTACGAGCGAATTGATAATCTCTAAACCTTCTTGGCACGTGCAAGACCGTTTCAGCATCTTCATCTTTTTCTTCACGACCGCTTTATTTCATTATACACGCCTATCTATGTTGGATCATTAATCTCGCTACTATCAATCATTCTTAATTTCATGTGCGATTGTAATCAACTTGAATCAATTGCTTTTTCCTGTTTCATAAAACATTATTTAATATCATATATATATATTTGTGTATTCTGATTAATTTATCATTATTCTCGAGCAAGTCATAATCATGTCATATAAAGTACGTCGGATGAGTGGCGTGCAACGTTGTTTAACGAATAATTCAAATTAGATGTAAAAAATTAAATGTAAAATAGATGTAAATTTATCAGAATTTATTATTCCTCCAGGATTAATAAATACATCTTTGGATTACTCTGTTAATTATTTGTCAAAAAAAAAATTAGATTATCTCAGCTTGTATATATAAAGTCTGTTGCAATACAATGCTTAGAATTAAAATCAAAAGTACTGGGAATGAGCAAGAATATTCACAAAACTTCTGCCTATTGATATCTCGCATAAAACTTGTGAAAATGTATCACAATTAATGAAACTGTCGCACGCACGATTTGTCCTACGTACATACATCATGCATCATCCACTCGGTCGTGCACCCGCCAAATGCCTAAATTCCACAAAACAAAGAAAAAAGAAACAAAAAAGAGAGAGGTGTAACCGGTGCGGTGGAGCGACGGTGGAAGGCGGAGAGACGATACGGACGGATATACAGGTGGCATGAGAAAGGAGAGGGGAAAGAGAAAGAAAGAACGAAAGAGGAATAGGGAGAGAGGGTGAGAGAGGGAGACGGTGATTACGAAAGAGAGTGCTAAGCCGAGCTACTCTGTGTCTGCTAGAGCCGGTATAGAGAGAAGAGAGAAAGAGATAGAGAGAAAGAGCGCAAAATCGAGTCGATCGAGTGAAGTCTGAGAGCAGCATCTGTTGACCCGCTGCTGTGTGCCCTTGGTTTCTTCAGCGTCGGCGGCCCAGGCGCACCGCGTCCTCCGGCTGCCGTCCACCTGGGGCTCGTCCCGGCCGTCGATCATCGGCCGCGGCGACGACTTCTTCGTGCGCTACGGGGACAAGGAGCGCGAGGCGGTGGCCTCGTTCGACTTCCTCGACGAGTTCGTCGCGGCGACGACGACAACGACGACGGTGGCGACCGGGCTTCCCTCCTCGCTCGGCTCGGACAGCAGCCCCCTCGACCTAGACGACGACGCGCCGTCCGCCGGTCTCAACAGCGATATCATGAAGCTCTCACCGCTCTAGGATCAACGGCGACGGCGGATCGATTTTGTAAAATGCGTAGAAATTTTTGTCTGAACGCGCGAGCTCTTCCCGGCTGATGAAGTGCGATGTCCTAATTCTGTTAAGCACGCCGGGAAATCTAACTTTGTTTCCATTCTTTTCTAACTGCTTTTAATTGATACATTACATTTATTTAATGTAGAAATTTTTTGTCGATGAAATCATAATTTTAAATTACTTTTTTTTTTTAAGTCAGAAAAGGATTTCTAAATTATGAATCGTTAAATGTGTTGTATTTCATTTAGTTTGCTCCACTTTTGTTATTGATTTTAGCGACGATTGGACAATTCAAGAATTGAGGAATTTTCCTCGATAAATTAGTCTTAATCTGTGATTATTTGCCTTTCAAAAATATATCACGTTAGTCAGATTTTGCTTCCTTTTTATATGCCGACTGTACAGGTACTAACATAATTTCTTCTAATAAGTGTTTTGCGTATGTAAGTCTCTGAATTGTGCGTCTTCCGGGAAGAGTCCCGCGAGTCCACTAAATCCGACATTATCAAATATTCTTCCCAATCACGCCAATTATAGTGAATCAAAACGGCGAGCTACCTGAAAAAAAAAAAAACGTCTGATTCTGTTAATGCATTAAAAGGTAACTATATCCGCAATCAACGTTGTGCTAATGGGCGCGTTTCGTCAAAGATCGACTATTTTGTAATCATGTGAGAGATGTCACATTAGGCCAATGTCGCTCGCCATCCCCTTGCGACGAACGATTTGTACATTACCCTACAATATCCTCGACGCCGCGGTTCGAGTTTCAGAATCTTACAGTCCTGACGTTTTGTCACTAAGTAATTGGGAACATCCGAGGCGTCGCGCGTCGAAGATAGATTTGTAGCCCGAGAGACAAGAGTTCGTCTTGTCTCCTTTTCCCTGCGAGCTTCCTCTTACTCGAGATATAAATAAATAACGCACTGTGGTACGGTCGAAGATAAGCAAAAGCGGAAGCTGTTCGATAAGGATATAGGTCACAAGCTGCGTCCAGATCTTGATCCCAGCTTTATTCCCGGCTAGAGCCAACCTGTGTCAATTGTGTGTCAGGTTACAATGGAGCAAGCCCGATATCTTTTTCAGTGTAAAAACTACACCACTAAATTTTGAGTTATATTCGCACTGTACCCTCGATGCGCGCCGAACGAAAGGGATTTACTAATGGATATGTGCGGATAAATATTAATCAAAGAATTAGGGATAAGGATATTGTAAGCTGTAGTCGACCTGTGACACTAATGTAGTGTGTATGACGGGGACAGGATCGCCACGATTGGAAGGCTCTCGTACCAGAACGAACGCACACTGACGACATAGACGTAGATACAACTCATCCTGTAGCCTTTTCACTTTTTACGAGTATTTCGGATATTGTATACCCGCGCGATTGTTACAAAAAGCAAGATCTCTGATAGCGCGAATTAGATAGCAATATTCTCTATGCAAGAGTTGCCAAAAAAAAAAAAAAAAACTTATGCATCCCAATCAGGTATTTTAAATTGAATAAGAAATCACGTCACGATTGTGTCTTCTGAAGAACTTAATGTAAGATTAATTTGTTTAGAACTTTTAAAATCGAGAACTGAAAAATTACGAAATCTCCACTAAATAATTGATCTCTATCAAAGATCTTGCGTTTGATTAAGAGAAGCATCATTTCTCCATCGTGAACGCATTTTAAACAACATTTGACATGAATTGAGTCATTGAATCATTGTAACGTGACTTCGAAAAGCATCACGGCGCGATTACCTTCCATGGTGAGCTTAGAATGCGTAGATTAAGAGGTACTCGTCGATTTTCTATGAACCGTTAGATATTTTATACTCCATCCCCAACCCACCTTTCCAGTCCCGTCGTCGATCGTCTACGAGCGTCAAGAGCCGCGAATATCGTTAATTGACAATTCGGTCCACGCGTGATGAACTATTTTCTTCTGTCCTTAGAGAATAAGAACGTAAAACGAGCCTGTACATTTCGCTTCCGAACTTTGTAACATAGTGGGTTGTGTGGGAAAGAGAGAGTGAGAGCGCGAGATTTTTCCTGCGTTAAGACGAAAAAAAAAAATAACGATTACTTTATTGCGTGGAACACAGGGGGTCACCTGTCTTCGTGATTTGTACGAAAATTTGTCGCTCCGGGACGAGCGAATTTCTGAGTGACGCGTTTGGTCGGATTGTAGACGTAATATCATTAGCGTAACGTAAACGTAAGATAACGAGTCGATAGGGATCGAGATATTTTACACGTAGCTGTATACCCGTATGGACGAGATTCAATATTCGAGGTGGCGAGGTTGCACGGACGTTGAAAGTTGCCCCGCGCATTTGCTCGCGTTGCTGCTGTTCTAGTCAAGCAAGTGAGACCACGATTTTTTTTTTACAACCTTGAGCCTGATCATGTTTATCAACCCTACACTGCATCATCGTGCTCGTTATTCTTGTAGCAGGCATTGATTCAGGCTGGAAAAGCAATCTGAACAATTTGGAAAATTGGTTTGACATACGAACATCCGGATGATCTCGCGAATTTTTTTTTTTAACGTAACGTGTCATCCTTTCTCGCACATTTTGCGAATATTTGAGTATATCTTGAAGAATATTTAAATTATGATCTTTGTGATACGTTAATGATATTTTATTTCGTCACGATCGTATTTAAGGATAAATATGAAACGATTTTATATATGTGTATCATTATTATTATTTATTTATTAATAATATGGTTTATAAATTAATAATATCCAATAAAAGTGGTGAAAAAATATTATTAACAGTCAAGTAAAAAAAAAATTTTCTATTTTATATCCGCATGCCGTGCAGGGTTAGCTATTGATGATCTTAAAAGATTTTTTCCGCTATGACTATATTAATTCTAATCGAGAGACCATAATTTATTCGAGTATTTATTTTAATTTTAATGCAAAAACTGGTGATGGAGAAAAAACTCCCTTCTCGAGGAAACAATTTTCGTCCTGCAGCCTGAAAATAATAGACTAACGACATAGCTTTAAGATGTTTGTAAGTTCTACATTGGGGAGAGCAATGATCTCCATCTTTATTCCCGGTCGCAGTAGCAGCGAAGTCAAACGATAATCGCGTGAAATGAGACTTGCTGATAACGACGATGTATGTACATAGTATGTATCATAGCTCAATGCAAATGTAAGTTATCCTCTCTTGAACTTAATAAATAACGACAATATACGAACGTCAAAAGAAAATTTGTAACCGATCGTCATTATTTATTTATTTATGCAGAGCTGAAATCTTGCCTCCCCTAGCAACAGTGAAAGGAGCCGCAGTAGCAGTAGCAGAAATGGTAATCGTATGCGAGTGTGTACATCGAAGACGACGAAAAATAATAAAACATATCATAAGATAACAAAAACGATATTATATCTTATTAATGAACGACGAAGAAAATTAAGATTTTTCTCATTTCGTATTTTCAGACTTTTATCAGGTGTAAACTTGAATCAGAGGGTAATACATTAAGATATGACGAAAATAAATAAAAATTAGAAGATAGAAACATGGTTCAAGAAATAACAGCTTTTATAATAATATTCATTTTTTATCCTGCATCAAACTCTGCGTTAGATTCCTCTCGAAAGTATCAGACGAGATGAGTAAGAGCTGACTGTAAATGTTTTGTTAGAATCATTTTTGCGTGAAATGACGTACTGTCTCTTGGCCCTTCCTTTTCCTTCTAGAATTCGCCAGACATAGTGCGAAGATGAAACCAATTAGCTAAAAAAAGCGACAGAGCTCATGCACAACTCTCCCAAAATAATACAAAATTCGCAGTCTTCTGAGTCACATAAAATTTTTGTTTCGCCAGAAGAACGTTTCTGAGCCGGGATATCATTAATTATTGTCTCCTTCTTTTTCCTTCTAGAATTCGCCAGACATAGTGCGAAGATGAAGCCAATTAACTAAAAAGAATGTATAAAGCACACGCACAATTATCGCAAAATGTTTGCGAATCCGCCCACAAAATCTGGCCAACATAAAATTTTTGTTTCGCCAGAAGAACGTTTCTGAGCCGGGATAATATCATTAATTATTATCTCGTCTCTTGCTATTATTCTATATTCAGTATATGAGATATTTTCCGCAGATATTTTCAGCAGAGAGATAAAATTCAATTTTATGTCTCTTCGTTTTACTTACCTCAACTACGGTGAGAATCAGGATGAAGCCGCCTAATGCGTAGATTTTGTACGCATATCCAAATCCATAAACAAATTCATAAAAAGTTAGCTTACTAGCGCAACCTAGTCTCAGTCTTATGATATCTTCAGTGCACGTCACCCCAGAATTGCAACAACTAGATGGGACTGGTATTTTAAGAATCTCGCCGTAATCCCAGGAAGAATCGATACCACAGCAGTATAACTGCAAAGGATTATTTTACACGTCATGATATTTATTCGATTTGTAAATACTTTGTATATCGCATTTATTTCAAGCATACTTGACGTTATATTCAATATAGTATTAATTATGATATCTCTCTCTCTCTCTCTCTCTCTCATGTAGATATTTTATAGCAATTTACGTTTAGCATGAAAAAATATATTACTTCTTAAAGTTCTTAAAAATCTTACGTTTTTCTGAACATAATCTACGAACTCCCTGTCCTCCCATCGGTAATTGTAATTCTTGAAGGCTTCTTCAAAATCTTTTCTACTGGTCGGTGTTATTACGAGCATGTAGATTGTAACGGCTGATTGTATAATCAGTAAAATCGAAAATAGAAGTGCGAACTGTTCCGGAAACAACGTTATTAATCACTTTGATCAACTCGATCTTATTCAGTTAAATAATATTAATATTACTAGAATATTAAACAATCGTACTATTTAAATCCCCCCCCCCCTCCCCGCCATGTGAGTCTATCAATTTAATGATTTTCCGGTTCTTTACTACACACGATGATGAAGTCATTTGTGTCTGTGTGGGTTTATTTTCACTTTTACAAATATACAAAAATTATTAAGTAATTCTTACATATACTTTAACATTTTTAGGAAGTGTTTGTAAGACTGTATATCTAAAAAATTGTATATAAACGTCATAAAACTAATTACAGTCAACACGAATGACCCAATTGTGTATACTATAAAGGGACGCACAACTCAACCGTGTGTTAATACATTTTTAACAGTGTAGTGGTTTAGAAAAGTATCATTGATTTCGATGATAAGGAATGTCGAACGAACGAGTTCGCGCGAACGTGTTCTCGCATGATAAGAACCGAGGAGATAGCTTTGTATCGCGTAAGAAGATAACGCTCGCCAAGATGATAAAGCTCACCCTGACGGTCGTGTAGGTGTTGTATTCGCATCGATTCCTACATTTTTCGTTGCACAGATATAGTCCGCTAAATGCACCGCCGCAGATGGCTAAAATAATGAAGATACCGCCGACAGTCATAAGCATCACCAACGAACTCGCGGCGCCGTTTTTCCACAACGCGACTCTGTGATAATTACTGATCTCGTGGAATAGTATCGCAGCCCAGGTAGTCATGCCCACTCCGCGTATCTGCAACAAACGTTTCGTATTTCCGCATCATCACATAAGCATACCTATACATCTTCAGAATTCTTACCGAATAGAGACAGTTATGTTCCATAATGTTATCCGACTACATTTTCTTTTCACTAAAGGATGGATGATAATCGTAGTACGTGATAAAGTTAAAGCAGCACGCCGTAAAACGACACATCGTGTCGTTAAAAATGCACAGCATTTCTGGATTATTACGGGCATCATTGTGTCTCAAATATATTCAGATTTAGAAACAATATGCATTGTAAAGATGTTTCAACAAATTAATAACAGTCAGCATAGTATAATGATAATGATTAGTATAATAAAGACAAACAACGTTTTACCTTAACAATTCTTATATCAATGTAACAGCAGTATTGATGATACAAATTAATTTGTATTTTAATTAAAATACAAATTAAATTTAAATTTTATATTTATAATTTAGAAAAAAATTATAAAATGTAATTCAGATTGAATCACAAATAACAATTTTATTTTGAAATTGGATTGCAAATAATTGCAAGCTGTTTAAAGTAGGTCTAATAGATATTTACGTAGCAAGTCGTTAATCGTCAAAAATGGGAATATGAATATCATGACAAATACTATTTTGCAAAGCTCCAAAATACTTACCATAAGATAAACATTAAATATGTAAAAAAAATATTTCCCGAAAGCACGCAAATCGAACGAAAAACTATTTGACAAGCCCATTTTGCTCGTTTATCAACGACTGAAATTAGAAACTGCGCAACGCGCGCGAAGTAATTCAGCGAACTACTTGTCAGAACGGACTCTGCGATTTTTAATATACGACGCGATAGTGATAAGCTGTCCATATTACGCGATAACGCTGAAACGCCGTTGGATGATTTAAACTTCAAAAAATGCATTTTTTATTTCAGTGGTAGTTTTTGCCAAATCGACCTTTTTAAATCGACGTTCTAAAAATCAAAATTACTTGAAGCGGCTTCTTTCCAAAGCGAGCTCGCTCCAACGCGATTTGGGTAATGTAAGAATAGTACAGCTCCTTCAATTCCTGAAAAAAAAAATATATAAATAAGTATACAAAAATTTAAAAAAACATACATTTCTTACAGTTAATGAATTCTAGCCGAAAAATTGATATTGATTGTATAGATTAATAGTTGACCGCCTTTCAGAGGTTTGACTTACAGTTTTGCCACTTCATATACGATATAAGAAATTTGTAATAAAAAAATATTCTATTGCGATAGAAACAAGAATAATTCCGATAGAACATAAATTATATGTTTAAGACTAAGCATATTTATCGATAAAAAAGAAATTTAAAATATGAACCTTTATATTTACAATTTGTGTATGTAGCATATCTAGACTCGAATAACATAGTCCACATCCATTTTCGACATTTTTTCTGTTGTGTTGTTTTTTCGACAGTGTCAGAAAATGGATGTAGTTAATAAACTACATAGTGCCCAACTAAAAAATGACGGTAGTGGAATTCTGATAATTTCACGCCGGCCAAAGTTGTATTTTTCAAATTTTGTTATTTATTTTTATCAATGTAGATTAATTTTAATTTTGGTTTAACTTACTTTTCATTTTTGTTATAATTCTAAGAATTATAAAACTACGTTTAACAAAAATGCAGGACATAAGATAAAAAATTACCCTATTGGAGCTGGTAAAAATTAGAGAATCACGTCAGACAAGGTTCTCCGTTTTGTCTAAGTTTATTTTATGAATACAAAAAACTGGACATACATAATTTCATTTCGCAGCAACGGCAGCAGCAACAGCAGTAGCAACAATGGTAATTTCGCGCGTTAAACAACGAGTAAAATCGCAACTTTGAATTATTAATCGCTTTTCTCTCGAGCCGTGCCCCATACCTTTGTACGTTTTATCGTTATCTTTCTAAACAAAAATATTGCACAAACGTGCTACAGTTCGTCGCGCGCAGGCACGGCAACGAGATCTCTTAGATAAAATATTATTTTTTATTATAAGACAAAAAATATCTATATATATGTATATATATATGTAGACAAATATCTGTACTGTGCTGTACAAACAAAGTGAATTTTTATATAAAGACACATATGATGAAATTCCGTGTTTTTAACAGCGGTGTGATGATGTCTCCGCAGGTACAATTGTGTAGCTTATTATATGAAAAAATATTTTTGTAATATTAACTTCGTAAAATACTATCATTCGTCTGCTTTCCATCCCCGCTAAGGTACTTTCAATTACTTTTGTTCGCGGACTAACTCGGACTATCGGACGAAACGATTCTGCATATACATATTAAACAGTTATCGAAGATTTTTTTATATTTTTGAACTTTATGTAGAATAAGTATAAACATGAATCAAAGCGATACCGTATCAAAATGTGTATACGTATGTATATATATAACCGTATAAAAAAAAGGAGTTATTTTCATAAAGGAAAAGGAATATGTGGTCTGAGACCCGACAACAGTTACGGTAAAACTCATTGCCAGGTCATGCGCCGAACTCTACGTTAAACTCTTTTCGGAAAACAAAAGTGTCATTATATCGAAAAAAAAAAAAAATCATCTTTTAACTTTGATCAAGATTGTAAAGAAACAGGAGAAGAAAACATATGGAGACAATATGACTCCGTTCCGCTTAGAAAAAGAAAAAGGAAAATTTGTCCTGTTATAAAGCGTTCTATCACATCTTATAGGCGAATATGTTGTACGGTAGTACGATGAAGATTGTTGTTGCGTGTCGCGCGAAGCAGCGTTCTTCGACAAATGCTCCACTTTTACACACTATAGCCTCTCCGTTCGGCGTTCTTTATAGAATTCGCCAGGCATAATGCAAATATAATGCCAATCAGCTGCAAAAAAAAAGGACACGTATAATTACTGCAAGATATTCGTATGCAAAATGAGAACGAGAGATCAAAATATGTTTGATATAATATGTAATTGATTATATGTTTGGAACGATTAAAGCTCACTTGCGACGGCTTATTATCACAGTATTGATAGTGAAACTTTTATAATTTTAGATGCCATATATTTCGATGTATATGTTCTCATGTGTATTGTGTTCGATGCGTGCGTGTTGTTTGTTTATTTATTTGTGTGTGTGTGTGTGTGCGCGCACTCATGTATACATATAAATTCCTCGAATGTATATTTTTGTATTTCGGCGCGTATAAAAATACACTCGTAGATAGGACGTTGCCACGAGACGTTACAGATTGTCTAAAGTGGGCTTAAAATCTTTTCCGAATTGATGAACAATTATTATTTCATTACGACTTTTCTAATTATATCATACATAGAGCGATAATTCGGCAATTTTGCTTCTTAACTTTTTCTTTTATCGGTTTCTTACCTCAGCAGCAGCAATACCCAAGGCGACGCCACCCAGTATCGTAAGAGCAGATTTGAAGAGTTCTTCCAGTGACTTTGCACAACCTTTTTTAAAAGAGTTTAGTGGATCGCAGGTGGAATTTTTAGGCCTACCACAGCAACTTCCTGGGACATCAGTATGGAGCCATTTGGGGAAATCAATGGGGCCGTCAACGCCACAGCACTCGAGCTGCAAAAATACATCTCACATTGGAATGTTGATCTGTTGACTACGAATGGCTCTGAAGATATTTAGATATATTATTGTAAATTCAATATTATTCCGGATATGAATCATTCATAATGTACTATTAACGTGGAGCTTAAATTCGCATGACAATGTAGTGATATATTGTTGCACAGGGAAAGATATATGAAATGCATTCTAATTAAATGATAAGTTTTACCGTCTCTTGTATGGTATTCACAATGTCCTTTTGCTCAGAATCTTTATCAGTATAATGACTGAAGACTTCTTTCGCGTATGTGTCCTTAAAACTGATGTCGGAATTCTTCGCTGTGACGAACACGTAGATTGCGACAGCTACTTGTAGAATCAGAATCGTCAGGAGCAAACATGCAAACTGTGCGAAAGAAACAATATCAATTAACTCTTAATCCTTTTCAGGTGAACAAAACTGCCGCGTGTAAAACATCTATTTAATTAGCCCGATCGTAATAATCGTAATCGTGAATGGCACATGTATTATAATTGTCTAGGAAACAATCATCGATTCGGTTCACGCTAGTATATTCCCTCTTGAAGCAATAAACAAATAAACGCATAAACCAAATCTAAAATAGAAATCTACAATCATAGATAATAAATCCAAATTTTCATTCATTTTCGATTTAATGCAACACGTTTTGATTCCACAAATCCAACGCACGTGTTTTTTGAAAATTCGAATATAATAAATATAATAAATTTGAATTATTTTCAGGACTGAATTAAAAATATTCGGTGTATGAATATAAGTCAAGACCAAAAGGATTTAAATCTTTCGAGTATGACAGGATGAAATTCGCTAGTGGACTTACCGTGACCATCATACAGTGACTCTCGCGAATCGCACCGCAGCATCCTAGGAAAGCGATGACAAAGATGATGCTGCCGATGACGATCAATGTGATTGCCGGGAACGTGACATAATCCGTAAATTCATTCAGGTGCTTGGAATAATTTTGTTTTCCTACTTGCACTAAAACGCCGATAACCAGGATAGCCAAACCGCATAGCTGCAACAAGATAATTTGTATTTGCACATATATTGTGTATGTATCATCCGAGGTATTCAATATCCTTAATATTACATAACTAACAATTTTATAATATATTTTATTTTTTAAATACAACTTATCATAATACAACTTATCATAAACTTATCATATCTCAATACTGAACAAGAATGATTTTATACTATGATTCTCTTACTCTAGAATAAATGTTAAAAATATTGCAAATTATTACGTACATCATTATGCGGCGGTACAAAAAAAATGTTAAAACAAATTAATGGCAATTAAGTGCTTAAAAATATACAATATTAATCAAATTATTACGAACTTGAGAAGACAATTTTAATGTTTGAATGCAAAATTTAAGAAATCAATATGCATTCGCAAATGTAAAGATTTTCAATAAATTTGCATGTTATACTTAAACATTAAATTGGTCAGTATTAGATTTCTGTAAGGGATAACAAAGTCAAGATATTAAAGAGAAATCACGTATGCAATTTTGCATTAGCGATGTTCAAATCGATTTTAGCCACGATTTTGATTTATTTGATTGCTGATTATGAGTTGTTGTCGCCAGAGATGCAACATTGTTGCCCAATACACTTCGAGGATAGAAATAGATCAAAGATGTGGCATACGTACAACCACTGGCGTACAAAGCGAACGGTACCAGGTATCTGGAAATCGTCCTTGAAGCATCGTGCGCGCGCGCGTATACGCGTTATTTTTACACGTTGCCGTACAGCACGTGTTATGGTCAATCTTGAGATCGCTGCAGGTGGACTAATGTACTTATACTATGTAAGTGAAATACAGAAACGGTGGACAGTCTAAGTGCGTTCATCCTATCGATTCAACTTTAATAATTTCCGTCCTAGTTTCAGAGTGACCAGCATTCTCCGTCGTAAGGTATTCCCATGTATCGAATAGCGAGTGAAAAAGTAGGAACGAAAGAACAGCATGGAAAATCGTACCTCATGATAATGTCAATAAAAGTTTTAATAACGATGAAGATTGGTGAACAAGCAAAATATTATAATAAGAATAATAATAATTAATTGATAATCGATCGCTAATAGACTGCACTGTTTGCGCATTTTGATTGAAATTTTGTAGATTTTATATTAAGAAGCCATCTATCTTTGAAAATCTAAAGAAAGCTTTCAGAAATTTCCTTTTTATATCTATGCGATGGATCATTTTTCCCCTTAAAAAAAATTAATATTCTAAGTATAATATTGAATTAGTGAATAATTATTTATTTTTAACAGTGCTTTTTATACTCAAAATAAGTAACCATTTACCAATTTAATACTTATAGTATTAAATATTTTGAAGGAAGAATTGTAGATTTATGAAACATGTAATGTATTGAATTGTCAGTAAAAATTTGATTTCTTGAAAATAATCTTGATAGATAAAAAAAAATTCTGAAGCTACGTTGTATTCATCGCGAATCGTACTGGCTGGGAATCGTCCGCTATTGACAGACCGATTTTTATTTTACCCGCAAGGTATCGAAATTATGTGCGCCAGTGTGAATGTATATACACGCGCACACGTGTGTCTGTCGAGATGACATCATCGCATCTATAGCGACTATAACAATGTCCTCCGAACCGACTTCCTCCTCGAAATTATGTGTGTTTTACGGCGACGTGTCTGCGTGAATATTTTTCAACGGAGCAACTAATATCCTCGTCCTCTGCTGGAAGATTAACAAATCTCGGAAAAACTAAGCTCGACGTGGAATTTCGATTAGAAGGTACGTTACCATTTTTTTATTTTTTTTATCGCTAGACACACGCAATTAAAATGTTGAGCCGAAGCTTCGAAAAGAACCGAGATTTTCGTTATTATACGATGATCGATAAGATAAGTATCGATCGTCAAAACGGCGGTGAATAACTTCTGTCCAAGGTCCAAATGAAATATTTGTTCACGCCAAGGAAATCGAAAATGCACGATTCACTCTGTCGCACAATAGTGGCGCGAGTGCGAGGAATTTATCGAGATCGCGAGATAAATGACAGTGTGATAACAATAGTAAAAACTTGGGATATTGGAGAAAAAAAATCTAACTCAAAAGGAGGCAATATGAAAGGCACGACTTTTCGGGATACTTGAAACGTATCGCAACGTGGAAAACAATAAATCGTTACATATACATATGTATTTTTCGTGTCATCGATAAAATTAATATTTACGATTAATAGTATCAAAAGCATATATATCATAAAATTCGCTGTAGCGTCGTAGAGATAACTGCGGATAACAAACGTGAATAACAATTAATCATCTCTGATAACAAATCGACGGGTCTACTTCACCTTACAGGACTATCGAGTTTCTCGCGCAGAATAAATTCACGCGATAATTTTTTGAGGTCAGCGAACATTTTGTACATACAATTTCGAAAACCTGCAATTATTTATGACGCAATTACATCCGTCGAGTACACGGAAATATTTTTGTTTGTATGCATATTTTTTTTCTCTGTAAAATCCCAGAGAAAATGCACAGAAAAAAAATATGGTGCAAATTCAATGCAAGCTTATTGTCGAACGTGAAACTAGATGTCGAAGCAACGTGGAAAATTTGCGCGCGCCACGGGGGACGCGCAATCGCGAAGATAGTGCACACGTGATACGTGTAAGGCGTAGCGCGATAATTACGGAAAATGAGACGCCAGGGAATGTCCGACAGCATTGGCGAGCGACGGTGGAAGGGTTGGGCGGAGGACACGGCGAAAAATTGTGGGCGCTGCTAAATGCATAATGCAACGGACGGACGGTGTTGCGAAATAAGCGCGACATACGGAAAAACTTATATGCGCAATTGATTGGCACGGAAATGACGCGCGTAATGTAATTTGGAGACCGCGAGTAACAGGAAGCGCTCGCAGCCATTGTCGTTTTAACAACTCGATCATTAACAAAATCATCTCGTTTTAATTGCATGAGAAAAATGACAGGTGATCTCTTTTCTGGTCGACGTTAAAAATGAGATTTACACCGTGAGGGAAATATAATATTTCTCCGTGCGATGTAATAAGACTAACGGCATGTAACAAAATGCCGCTGCAAATTAATTCAAAAATACGATATCTGTTAATTATTCACAAAGTCCAGGCTTTGTTCATTTTTCCGAGTACTGGCCTGTGATAATTATTTTTAGCTTCAACATAATTCAGTTTCTTGGAGCGATAAATAAATGTATCGGGGATATCGAAAAGGAATTGAAAGTTTTTAATTGGAGGCATATTGTTTCTTCTGATTATTCGTTTTGTCTCTAGATATAAATTAAATTAAATTTAGAACTTAATATATACGTAATGGGTTAATTTGCGAGAAATAAATATCTCAATAACAAAGAACTTAACTTTGCGAAATCCTATATATAATCTTTTCTTGGAATGATAAAATCGCATTCGATAAACAGCTTAGATAATATTTCAGTGTAATTAAATATAATAAATATATCGTTGACAATCAAGAACGATAAACAGGTTATAAAACTAATCGATAAAATAATATACGATACTCAACATCTATTGTAAAAAAAATAACGGACACTATAAACAAAGGATTTAAATTCTAGAAGTTTTAATTGTATCTACAAAATTTGGAACCGGTTTTCTAATGTAAATTACATCCACAGCGATTATTCGCATTATATTTAATATTCAGTATAAATTATCTCGAATGAATTATTTTTCACTCCAAGAAGTTCTGTTGCAAATTACTTGAAGAGTAAAGTTTATTACGCTTGTTCGCGAAGTCCAGGCTTCGTACATTTTTCCTTTAATCCTTTCAGACAGCAGTCATTATAATAATTCCTCCAATCATTACAATAATTCCTCCAACTTCAACATTAAATGACCTATTGTCTAATATTTTAGATAAAGTATTCCCAGAAAAGACTTTTGCGGATTATTGGAAGAACGTCATCGTCATCTGGTGCAGCGGCTTCTCTGGACACACCCAATGTGCAGTCATGATGTACAAAGTTGCGTAACTCTAATCGGGAAAAATCGCGCGATCAACGATAATGTAAGTGACGTCTCGGTCATTGTGGCTCTTGATAGAAAGAAAGAAAGAACACGAAAAAAAGGCGACGCAATTGTCCGCGCGGCAGGGGCACGTAACGAGCACTCCGAACATGTAGGTATTGTTACATCGTCACCTTTTTATTTCGTAAATATTATCTCTGTACAAGAACCGTTGTTACATATGTTCGTGCAATTTTTATCATTAAGTGCTTTAAAACAAGAGCTAGAACAACATTGTCGTCGTGAAAGTAATTGATTGGAAGAAATATTTTTATAATTTATTCTTGAACTTATCAAGTAATGTAACTTTTATGTATTAGCATGACTTTATTCCCATATAAAAAGCTACTTAGTAGATTAATAATTATTTACGTAAATCGATAATAATTAACCTAATACGAGGCATAATTTTTCTCATGTATAGGCATTATACGATCGTCTCCTACAAACGTCACTTTGCGTTATTTGAATAATTAATGTATCTAATATTAAACTAATAATTTTAATCAATCTAATTAATATTAGAAAAGTTAATATTTAAAACGTAAAATGCAAAAATAAAATCGGAATAATCTAATTCTGCTAAAATAAATAAAATAATAATAGAAGATTAAGCCTACTTTAAACAATTCCGTCTGGCATAAAATTTCATTTATAAATTTATATGCTATGTATTTTCAGATGTGTACATACATATACATTTTTAAATATATTTAACACATATTTTACAAACGTATAATTATATTTAATATATTTTATAATGCTCTTTGATTTTCTTCAATATCTATTGTTTATTTATATCTATTGTTTATATTTATACAATAAAATTATGTATACAATTTTATAATGAATTCCTACGCAAATTATAGATTGTCTAAAGTCGACTTTAAAATACAAGCGGGCAAAACAAAATTTACGTCCTCGTTATGTGATAAAAACGATGTGA